TTTTTTTATCCTACTACTTTTGCCTTTCACCATAGTTGGAGATCACTTGCACAAATATCATTTTATAACTAATAAAAGTCAATTATGAACGGCTTAATACTATCAAATTATCAAAACAAGTCAACAATTCACATGTTTACTAAGTTATATGGGGTTTCTTTAAGTATTTTAGGGTAAGGGTTATTTGTTAGAGTTAATGGTTGTATATATAATTATAATTACATCGCAAAGTAAACATGTAGTCTGATTCTCTTAGCACAGCTGCTGTCTCTTGCTAAGTCCTGATTAATACGCTCTCACATATTTCCTTAACCCCATGGTGCTTTTCACTGAGGTTAAGGAATAGTGGTTAAGAAAAGTTATAGGCCCTTTTTTCATTGATAATTAAATCACAACCAAGGTTGTGTACCACTGCTGGGATGCTAATATTAGCAGTTTGTGCTGAAAGCCAACAAACGATTATTCTTTCTGCGACAACGCAGGAAGTGATTGGTATAAAAGGCAAGGAAGATACATTTTTACAGACTCATCTCACTGCTTCTATCAAGGTTTGGTATAGAAACTGCTCGTAGAATAAAGGTCAGAACTACTAATTTGGTTAACGGGACATATCCTGAGGCAATGAGGGCTCTGAACTCCTCACCATCAGTTCAGTCCATAAACTTAAGTTAACTGAGTCAACAAGAGTGTTTCTTATAGCACTGGATACTTTGTGTCTTATCTTATTATGTAGTAGAGTATTTGTAAACGGTTGCACACAAACAGATAGGAGTGACAAAAATAGTGACGGGGCAAGGGAGGGAAATAAGCAATTAATAATAGCCAAGTCAAACATCCTGGTAAAGAAGCAAAAAGAGGAAAGGAGACAGAAAGAAGACACAGGGAATCTATTTATGTGATATTAAGAAGCTCCTTGCTTTTCATTTCACTTCGCTAATGATGTAGCATAAATTGTTACAGAGGGGGAAGAGAAGCAGGCAGACTGTGTTTCCATGAATGTCTTACCTTCCTCTGTCCCTTCCTCTCACCGCTTTTGAAATATAGTATACGAAACAGCACTGCAAATAACTTTCCCCACAACATTTGAGATTTTGCCATTGCAAAAATCAATATTAGACTTAAAAGGTTTCGCTCAGGTACAGTATGTATACGGTACAATTGAAGCTGTTGCACTATGTAAAAAAATCATTTCTAATAGTAATTTGGCAAAATATGATTTGAAAGGTTATTCAAACACCATATACATTTGTGTGAAGAAAGAGCCTTGCCTATACAGATGTTTGGTGCTGAATTACATGTTTATTAAAAGAGGTGTTTTTCACAGCTTTAGTTGAATATTTGTAATAATATCAAAAGGAAACTCTTTTTCAAAGCAGTGAGAATCTGTTTATCTGTCACTCAATTTAATTACATGTTTATTTTACCTTGAAACACGTTGGGTTTTTCTTTTTACAGATTCTAAAAGATTCACCACCGTTGATCAATATGAAACACAAAGTGGACATTAATTCAATTTCTTTATTATAGCCACAGCCAAATCTACAATTATGACTACAACAAATAAGAGATCTTCACATTGTTGAGGAACTGACAGGTATTTTGCACGGATAACAATATGAATTTGATATTAGGGGAACATATACTAGATTATATGTTGCCGGATCAGAATATTTCCAAGCCTGTCGGTGGTAAAAAAAACAGCTTTTAATGGACATTTAATGTATATTGACGCAATGCATTTTTACAAATAATTTGCTAATAATTCCGAATTGATTTCCTCTTACCAGTTTGTCATGCATTTCCTTATTACAATAGCGCGTAAATATTAGCATTTTAAACATTTAAATGAATCATGATTAAAGACAGATAAATATTTTGAGTATCCCAATTACATGTATTAATCAATTTACGTACTGATTGACCGTTGTATCTTTCACTATGTTCTTTGTTATTTTGTTTCTGATCTGGTTTTGAGAACCTAAATCAACATTTTTCTCCTTAAATTGAATTGGGCTTAAACAGCAGAGACATCACAATAGAGGCAGACTACTTTAAATGGAAGCACATTCACACAAATCATACACTAACTGTGGACTATATATTTCCTTTTCAGTATACTTGAGAACAAGTCAAAGATAGAACAGTGCAGTGATATTATTGAACAAAAAATAGGAAACAACCTCAAAACACAAGGCTCTACAGGCAGAAGGAAACAGATGTCTACGCCTGATAACCAGCAGTTCTTTTTGCCTGGATTGCAGCATAAACAAATGAAGCAAGGGCAAACCACAGTCTGCTCTGATGCTCACATTCAGCTGCTTCCTTATGTGCATCTACGTGTGATGAAATTCAGAGAGGCAAAATTAAAGAGCACCGACAAGTCTGTCAGGCTGAAGTAAAGTTACACAGACTGGAATCAGATTGGAGTTGACTTTTGTTAACATACTTACCTGTGATTGGGCCGAGTTCTTCATGCACACAAAATAAATGCTTCGGCTTATTGAGGAACAAAAAAGTTTGCTTCATCCTTTTTGAGTTGTGAAAACTTCTGATGAAAATATGTTCAAACAATAATCTACATTGAGTCATAGTCAAATATACAGTATTTCAATAACCACTGACTTAATAATTTGCAGCAATAACACGTTTTTAAGTTTGAATTCTTATTCACAGCTATGCTAAACTAAGAATGGCCCTATAACGATGCTAAACATAGGTGTCATTTACACTGGGGACACAAGGGACATGTCCCACCTCTTTTTGAAAAGATTTATTTTGTTATATATATATATATATTACTATTTAAAAGAATAATTATTAAAAACAAATTATTAAAAACAAATTATTAAAAAAAACCTTAAAGCTACATAATGTTAACTAATTCTAATAGGATGGTGCATGAACGTGTCCTAAAACCCGGAAGTGAGTTAGCATTTTACCACTTCCGGTTCCCTCATCTCAGAGTCAACGGTTTTTTGAACAAGTTTTTTNTGCCTGATCAGAATTCTACCGGAGATAAAGTTAAATTCTGCTGTGATAAAACGCCATCCTGTTCTAAACCACATCAAGGATTATTTCTGAAACAGTATGCCATACTGTTTCAGAAATAATCCTTGATGTGGTTTAGAACAGGATGGCGTTTTATCACAGCAGAATTTAACTTTATCTCCGGTAGAATTCTGATCAGGCATTATCTCCGCCTCCTCTCTTTTTCTTTTACAAGCTAAGGACCCAAAATCCGCGTTTCTCTAACAGGGCTGCAAAAGAGGGGTATGAGCAGTATGAGGCATGGCTACAATGGGTGAACTGTTTGGTATTTTAAGCAAAAAACTTCACAGACATGTTTTGTATAGGTATGGCCCTACAATATATGTTTCCAATATAGCATAAAAGGTCCACTTTAAGGTAAGATGGCGCCTGCCAATTAAGGGCTTTGTAGGCGAGAAGATGGATTTTGAATTCTATCCTGTGTTCTATAGGGAGCCAGTGTAAGGCAGCCAGAACAGGAGTAATGTGGTCCCTTTTCCTAACTCTAGTTAGTACACGTGCTGCAGCATTTTGAATCAGCTGAAGCCACTTAACTGACTTTTTGGTACACCCTGATAATAAGGAGTTACAATAATCCAGCCTTGAAGTAACAAATGCATGGATTAGTTTCTCTGCATCGTTTTGAGGCAAGATATGCCTGATTTTTGCAATGTTACGTAGATGAAAGAATACATGTGGTGTATTTTGCATATCGCTCAGTAGCCAACGATCTCTGAGTCTGTTGGCTCGGATATAAACTCTGTAATAAATGTAGTCTACATTTCATAAGAGGTGTAAAACCTGAGAGCATTTTAAATCGCATTTGAACTAAATGCTTATACAATCTGTAGTTGTATTTGTATTGTTGATTGTTTGTGTGAAAGAGGCGATGTAGAGAAGGTTAAGCTGTCATTATTAGGCTGTTATGTACTGTTGGAGTGGTAAGCACTGAGCAGGCCTATTGTTTTGGGATATTTGTGGGGTTAGGTGCACGGTCCGTGAGTGTTTTTTAATTGGTTAAGTGGTCCTTAAGAAAAAGTTTGAGAAACACTGCGCTAGTGGATTATCAACGGGGGGAGCCTCGCTGCGGGGAAATTAAACAGATGGCTGTCCGCCCCTGAAAAATGTCTATGCACACGTTATTATTAATAGTAATTGTAAGAAAACATTTATAACATTTTTATATTATTTTTTGTTTTTTAATCATCTCGCTACCCCCACTTTGGGAACCTCTGGTCTAATAGACAGTGAGACTATTTAGGAACAGCTTCTATAATTCTTAGGGGAATATGATCATTAGGGGAGGTGTACTGTACTCGAATGCAATCCTCAGTACAAATCTAAAAAAGTAAAAAAGACAGAGGCAATGATTTCAGGCAGAAACTGGGGCTAATGGAGGCTTATTACCTCTGGTTGCACAAAGAAGAGAAGCAGATATCTATTCTTGTGCAAGAGGTAGCTTCGTTGTCATAGCAACTGATATCCATTTGTATCCTTCATTTGACAGCTTGAGTAGGCGGGACTTCCGTCTGCCGGATTTCCAAAGATACAAATGTGTCAAGATAATCATTCTCCTCCAAGGCTTTTCAAGGGATTCAAAAGTATCGATTTCTATAGCCTATGATTAGATTATTCTAAATTTAGACCATTGGGCTCATAAGGAGCCAATTGAACTATAGCTACATATAAAAAGGCTGCAATGTTTAGCCTTAATATGATTTTAAAAATATAATTAAAGAGAGACAACGTTCACAGCATTTGAAGGTTAGCTTAGCAAAGACATTTTTTATTACAATATCCTTTTGATACAATAAAGAGCGACAGTACAAGATTTATAAAATGTGAAAGGACGACTAATTTGCTCTGACCGGTATAAACGAAAACGGAAGTAGTACAAATAACTATCTTGTTTCTTTTTTATCATCTCTGGTTGGAAAATCAATAACATTTCCCAGAAGTCTTTGCAGCTGAACTGTCACCCAAAATGTCAGCACCCTAAGAACTCATGCACGGGGGTTATTACAGTACCATTTACTTTAAAAGATACGCATGTGTTTTCTTCATGCCAGTATATAATGGTCCGTCAATGTGGCCATAGTCTACGTTTAATGACAATACAGTAGTAGTCAAAAGCTAGCTAGCTAGCTAGCTATCGCCAGCTAACAGTTAGGACCTTCATGCTGGAAGGTAACTGACAGCAGCTTAACGACAACATGTCCCTTTCTCTAGTTAAACGGTGGTGTGACACACCACTGCTAAGACGTGTTTTACAGTTCAAAGAGTACAGGAGGAAAATACAAAGCTGTAATATGACCTACACACTGTTAAGACACCGCTGGATGAAAAGGCTGCCTGTGTTCTCCAGCAGCTTCAGGATAATCAGCACTAAAACAGATAAGGTAGGCTGACAAACTAATACTGGAACATATTCATGGTCTCTGTGCATTTATCCCCGTTCATAATTCTGTAAAACAGTAGTATTAGAGATTAAAAGCAGCCTTTGTTTACAGATAGGGGCTGGAAGCAAGAACTGTACTTAGGTACAAATTCAGGGTACTTGTACTTTGCTTGAGTATTTCTATTATATGTAACATTATAGCCCTACGTAATTACGAAACCATTTACATTATACTTTTCACCTCACTATCTTTGTCAGAGAGCTCTATTTACAAGATTGAAAATCATTCAAAACCATGTATCTCTACTTTCAATTTTGCTTGTGCATTTTTATAATAAACTGAATGATTTAGTTTTATTTTGTTTGCCAAGAGAAACCCCTTTCTTCTTGAGCAGACGTGGTGATTCTAATTTTGGTACTTTATCAGAATCCTGTTAAAGAAATTCTAACCCCAAAAATTATCATTTGGATATTAATTGCTCAACCAGTTTTACCTTGAATACTAATAGATACTTAATTCAACCCCCATGCCCCATGAGGTTAACAAAGAATACAAACATGGGGAGAAGCCTTGGCACATCAAAGTAAATGCAGGCCAAAAACTTGTGCAGTAAAATCCAAGTCTTATTTATCTAGTTGATCACTCACTACTAGTGTTGGTTGTTGGGCTGGTGCGGAAGTAGATGTTTTTTTTAACTAGTACTGGTAGGTTTTACCGAAAATGTTTGGAAAAAGTGAGCAGAAAAAGAATCAAGAATTCAAGGTAAATCTGTGATTCATTCATTATACAAATTTAATTTTTTTAATTTAGCTGATAATGATAACACACTTCTACTTAAATGTGGGGTAGGTAATTAACTTCAGAAACACTTTTTGTTATCTTCCATGGAATGCTCTTAAGATCCTGATAGCAATGAATACATTAAATGCTTTGACAATAAATACATAAAAAAACGTCATCTGTGGAAGCCGTGGCGCTGCAAAAAGGATGGATGGCCTACCTGCCTGTCAGGCTTCCATCTGTGCACAAAATTATCTCGTGCCCTCATTGGTCATGTGCGCGTTTGTGTGTGTTGGAGGAGGGGCTCTGTAAGGAAGTCTGAAGGAAGAGGCAGATTTTTTCCGGTTGGCTATTTTCAAATTCTAGCGCACTCGAGCTGGTTTCTCCATTCTTACCTACCCTACCTTTAAGGAGGTTCTGAATGTGCCCCATTAAGAAAGTATATTCTGCCCGAATATTTTTCAAAACATGTTTCAAATGTTACTGTTACACTCAGCAGTTGTTAAATAGCTGTCATACTAATCTGCAGACCCTCTGTTGCCTTTAAGGATACGATTGACCTGTCTAAGTTTCCTGTGGACAGAATCAGGAATTTTTGCATCATCGCTCATATTGACCATGGAAAAAGCACGTTGGCTGACAGGCTGTTGGAAATAACAGGTACTTTTTCTTCATCACATGAGCACATCAGCTTTTTTTCCAACTTAGTTTTAAAGTGGCTCTATTGTGCTCATAATCAGGTTCATGTCTGTATTTTCTACCTCTCCTGGGATATGTCTCCTTGCTTTGATGTTCAGAAAGCTCTTTATTGTTCTCATACTGCCTGTGCTGCAGCACCTCTTTTCACCCTCTGTCTGAAACCAGAGCCCAGTCTGCTCTGATTGGTTAGCTGGCCGGCTCTGTTGTGATTGGTCAACCAGAGATGTCCCTCCCCTAAGCCTATGTACAATGTGTTGGAGCGCTAGCCAATAGAAGCATGAGTGTTAAATTGTGATGTCACTATGTTACATAAATATACAAAAGAGTCCAATGGAGGCGTTTCAGGCAGAGGTGTGGCAGAGAAACTCCCCTGAGAGGGAACACAGGGATTTTAGCAAGACCATCTTCATGTATAAAACCTATATAACACACTTCAGGAAAGAGAAAGCCCCAAAAACATAATAGGGCCCCTTTAATATGTTACTCTACTAATTTCTTTGTCTTTTATCTGCAGTGTCCCCTTTACTGTAACAATGTAAATCCCTCTACTGTATATAAAGGATGTCTGATTCAGATTTTTTTGGATGTCACTGACTAACAGGTGCCATAGCAAAGACTGACAAGAACAAGCAGGTGTTGGACAAGCTTCAGGTGGAGCGAGAGAGAGGGATCACAGTGAAGGCTCAGACGGCCTCGCTGATCTACAGCTACGAGGGAGAGCAGTACCTCCTGAACCTCATTGACACGCCGGTCAGTACTAAGCTGGATGTGATGTCAGGAAAAAAGAACTACTTTCTCTCCTTGTTGTTCATGGTTGTTTTGCTATAGCTGCGGTAGTTCATCAGGACTTTGGTCCTAAGAGAAGAAACTCTAGAAACTCTGCCCGGTGCGTTCTTATAATGTTGTTTCTTGCAGGTTTTCTAAACCTAGATAATAGTGAGACATTTTTACTTTATTACCAAGCTTTGAATTCAATTATTTTTCCCTCTACTGCTACTAGAGATTAATCAGGTTACCAGATAACTTAAACATAATTTATTTTAAAACATCCACATCCAATCGGAGGCTCATTTGTAATGTTTGAAATTAAAAATGTTTGCATCTTTCCTCAAATATATTACCTTGGTTTCCAATTGTCATGATTATTTTTTCAATTATATATTTTTCGTTCACTGGATCCTTCCATTTAACATTTATCATCTTTTAACCAATTCATTGTTATTTGTTTCATCATTGACACAAAAAATGTCTGTTCTTGATCTCTTCTGGTGTTGTTCTAAAGACCTGAAGAGAGCAATATGAAAATAAAATAGGTTAACTATATTCTTGTCTTGTGTGATACTGTATGTCCAAAAGTTTTTAAATCTCCGGTGCTTCTCTTCTCTATAGGGTCATGTGGACTTCAGTTACGAGGTTTCTCGATCGATTTCAGCCTGCCAAGGGGTCCTGTTGATTGTCGACGCCAATCAGGTACAAACCCAGACTCATAGCTCTCTTTTTTCTCAGAAAAGTATTGTTGATGTACTTATATATAATATTTTTGCTGTCATGTGAAGGGGATTCAGGCGCAGACAGTTGCCAACTTCTACTTGGCTTTTGAAGCTCAGATGGCCATCGTCCCTGTCATCAACAAGGTACAAATATCTTTATGCCTTTTTGATTTGTCTGCTTGACTACTATTTAGAATGTCATTTTAATTCTGCATTTTCCCCTCAGATTGATTTAAAAAATGCTGATCCAGAGCGAGTGGAGTCCCAGATTGAAAAAGTTTTTGATATTCCATGTGAGGAATGCATTAGGGTGAGTGGTAGCATAATGAAAGGTGTATTTTCAGTATCGCTTTGAAATAACTGTTAATTCCAAATTTCATTTTTTTCTCCAGATTTCAGCTAAGCTTGGAATAAACATTGAAGAGGTTCTCCGAGCGGTTGTGGAGAGAATCCCCCCGTAAGCAGCTTCATTCAGTCTTATTTCTCACATGAAACACGTTTGACACGTAAAAGTGAAGCTGTTTTATTTGTGCTTGTCTTCTCAGGCCCGCGGCAAGTATTGATGAACCTTTTAAAGCCCTCGTGTTCGACTCCACCTTCGACCACTACAGAGGGGTGGTGGCCAACATCGCTCTGTTCGGGGGTCGGGTCAAGAAAGGGGACAAGGTCGTGTCGGCGTATCTCGGGAAAACCTACGAGGTCAACGAGCTGGGGCTCCTCCGGCCGGCTGAGCACCCGACACAGAAGCTGTATGTTCACTTTTTCTCCTCTCCATTCATTTCTTTCACTTCTTTCACCCAATACAGCTGATGTTATTTACAGAATATATCATTTCAACTATTTTGGTCATTTAGTTACATTTGTAATCAAAATGGCCAAACATGCTGCTGGTTCAATCTTCTCAGTTGTTGCTTTTTTTTTTGTCTTATATGATAATAAACTAATTATACTAGGCTTCAGGAAATGTTTTGTCATTGTGTACATTTTTTTAAATGTGTATAAATCAAACAATCCATAATCAATTGTTTTATTAAGCTGCATTCACATAATACGCAATGTTCTCTTTGCTCACTGCGGGGTTGGGCGAGGAACCTTGCGGTGAAAACAGCCGGTTAAGTTTTTTTTTTATGGCTACGTCCCATGCTAGCTTGTGCCGCTACATACAGCTGTTATCTGATTGGTTGCGCATTGAAAGGTCAGCTGTGAACAACACTAAAAAAAGAACCCTTTCATTTATTGTGTAAAGCACTAAGTGCACTTACTTTTCTAGCTTTTGAAAAAACATGCACTGAAGGGGTTTTACCTTTGAATCTGTTCCTCTTCTTGTTTAGGTTTGCAGGCCAAGTAGGCTACATAATAGCAGGGATGAAGGATGTGAAGGAGGCGCAGATTGGGGACACTCTCTACCTCCAAGAGCACCCGGTGGAAGCTCTTCCAGGGTTTAAACCCGCCAAAGCAATGGTCTTTGCTGGTAAGATGTTTTATTATCTGCTTCCTGCTGTCAGAGAAAAATCTCTGTGAAAATGTGAACTGGATTTGAGGATTCTTTAAAACTTTTTACTTTTTGTATTGCCTTTACCTATAACTGAAATAGACTCAAAATAACCACAAAGAAACATGACTACAAAGAGACATAACAAAGCTACAAAGGGAATCAAAGGACTAAAATGACTACAAAGTGACCAAAAAGGGAAGCAAAAACACAACAAAGAGACATAAAATGACTTCAAAGAGACTTACAAATACCTAGAGACTTAAACCAACTACAAAGACGCACACAATGACTACTAAGAGAGATATAAAAGGACTACAATGAGACAAACAGAAACACTACAGAGAGAGACAAGTCACTACAAATAAACATAGATTGACTACAAAGTAAAAAACAAAACACAACAAAGAGACGCAACGACTTCAAAGAGACTTAAATTGACTCTATAGACTTGAAACGACTATACAGACATGTTTAAAATGTACTAATAAATGTCTACAAAGACACACAAAATGACTACAAAGATGCAACTAACCACAAAAAAAAAGACTCAAATTGAATACAAGTCGTTATGTCATGAGGTGGGGCTTTTTTTTTTGCTTCTTTCCTAATCGGCCAATGGATGTACTCAAAGGTGAAAGCCCTTCAGTGCATGTCGTGTCTCACTAGCTAGCACAGTAGGTGCTCTTAGTGCTTTACACAATAAATGAAACGGGTCCTTTTTTCTGAGGTTGTGCAATCTACATATTTGTTTCCTGTCCCCCAGGCATGTATCCCATGGACCAGTCAGAGTACCCGGCCCTTCGCAGTGCCATTGAGAGGCTGACCCTGAATGACTCCAGTGTCACGGTGCAGAGAGACAGCAGCATGGCCCTGGGAGCCGGCTGGAGGTGAGGAGCCCTGCTTTGAATTAGAATGAAAAATGACTCCTAATGGTACGACAAGGAGGACATGTTTTGCCGCAGCATCATTTGTATTTATTTGCGTCACTCAAACTAGACGTGCCGGCAAGGTTTTTCCCGCCATGGCCGAAATAACCACTCCTGCTGCTTTGTGCATGTTGTTACAGAGTTACAGATATGTTGGGAAACCAAATGCTATCATGTCCAGGTTCATAACATCAGCCAAAAACACACAAGGAGCTGTCTTCATCGTCTCTAGCATGTCACGTGTTGGCTGAAAGAATCTTGTTTAATACAGTGTTATGAACCCAAAAATAAACAGATTCCGAAATAACTGCCTAATGATGCTAATTAGTGAAAAACCAATGCTATGTCAGGTCTGTCAACATGATGGCAAGCAAACACGTTCAAAATGCTTGTTTTCTGAATGGAGATTGGATCGATCAGGCTAAGCAAAGCTTCTATTGTAGCTGCTCCATCCACTCTCAAAATAACATGAGGTGATAACCCAACACAGCCAATGAAAGAAAACAGTAGGTGGTGATTATGCAGCAAACTGCTACAGATCTGCAGGTCATTAAATAAACCAAAAGAAGTTTCATCAGTTTCTTCACAAATTGGGTATCACATGATATGATTTATAACAAAATCAGCAACTTTTCTGCATACCATGTGTTGCCAAACTTTAGCGCTCATTGATCCTTACAGGTCATATTAGTCCAGGTGATGAAATTGAATATTATTTCTTTAGTGGTATTGATTTAGAATAGATGATTCAGAACTATGAAGATGCGCTGGAATATTTATTCTGTTTTACAGATGATCTCTTTCTGAACATGCTCTTTGAAATAGAAAGAATGAATATTAGTTATAAAATGTAAGTGTTCGTCCTGTGCTCCTGCAGGCTGGGCTTCTTGGGTCTTCTGCACATGGAGGTGTTCAACCAGAGGCTGGAGCAGGAGTACAACGCCTCAGTGATAGTAACAGCCCCCACTGTTCCCTACAAGGCTGTGCTCTCTTCACCCAAACTCATCAAGGTGAGAGACGTTTCCTCCTGATGGGACACGCTCCCGTTGTACACTTTAAGGTTGAAGAAAACAGATACTTTGTCATATTTTAATGGAATCATTTGGAGTAGACTGAGAGTTGACACACTGATATCGCTAGCGTCATTTTTATATTTGTTTAGAGCTTCTGTTGATTGGTTATTAGTGTATCTGTTTTACAAAATACGCTTGTTACTTTTTCCTTTTTATGCCTATTTCAGCAGAAATTAATTTGTCCCATGGTGTTGTCTACTGGATTTGTTGAATAATTTATAGAACACTTTGGAGGAAAATCTGAATGCTTTGTTGCAAAGTCAATACCACAACAAAATGTTGTAATCCCATTGGCAGAAATGTAGTGAAAACGAAGACTTCAAATGTATATTTAAACTACAAATGTTCACAATGTTGAGATCTTTAACGCCCAACGATGGTATAAATGTTAGCGATATAGCATGAATGTAAAGGCAACTTTTTACAGCCACTTTTTAATACCCGGTCTATTTTGCATAAATATGTGACTTTAACCTCAGAGAATATAATCTCAGGGAATATATGAGTTATCTTGTAAATATAACCTTTTTCTTGCTATATTATTGTGGGGTTGAGTGTTTTGTTGGATGAATTGTGACTTTAAAATAATGAAAACTTTTGAAGCCTGTTTTATTTTGAGGTTGAAATGTTTCTCCCTGCAGGAACACGGCAGTGAGGAGATCACCGTGGTGAACCCGTCTCACTTCCCAGATAGAGCCGTTGTGTCTGAGTATCTGGAGCCGATGGTGCTGGGGACCATCCTCACTCCGGACAGCTACACCGGCAAGATCATGACCCTCGCCTTGGTAAGAGCAGCATGGAACATTCACACACAGACTAATGGCCATCATTTTTACACTGCAACATTTTCATTTAGGTCAGGTTGAGTATCTGTAAGAAAAAAGCAACTTAAAAAAAAAGAGTATGTGTGTTTTGTGTGTTAACAAACTTGTTTATAATTCCGTTGCTACTTTCATTTTGAGGGCTTTTCTCTTAAGAGAAGTGTCTCCTTGTTTGTTATGTTTTCTAATGTCAAAGGATGTTTTATCGTTGTTTCCCCAAAGAACCGCAGAGGGATCCAGCAGAACATGGTGTACATAGACGACCAGCGAGTCATGATGAAGTATCTCTTCCCTCTCAATGAAATCGTTGTGGATTTCTACGACCTGCTCAAATCGATGTCCTCCGGTTACGCCAGGTACAAATACGCAAGTGCTACTAAGTGTTGGGGGGGTACCAACTTCAAACTGGAAGAAGATAAACTACTGCAAAGTAGTAGTTTGGTTAACTGGTGCTACATAGAAAAAGTCTTTCAAACTACTTTGTAAAACAAAATAGTAGATTTGACATGATAAGAAATATGAAACTTTTATTTAGAAATAGTGAGCACAGGCCAAACAAATGACATTTAATAGTACTAAATACTAAATGGTCTCTCAACACTGGTGCTACAGATATAAATACATGTGGTATTGATTGAGTATGATTAGGTAAATGCACTTAAAGTATTAGGATTAAAAGTACTATTTGAAAAATAGTCAAATATTTTAAAGCAAAAGCAGCACATTTTCACATTTAAGAATCTAGAAATGTGAAATATTTAATTAATTCAAATTCATTTTCTGTCAACACACTTTTAATTACTTAAATATAATGTTAGATGGTTTTAATTTATACTAAATAATCATATTTTTGAAAGTTTTTCCTAAGTATTATGTGTGCACTACAAGTACAGTACTTGTAGTAAATGTACTTTCCACCACTGGGTCCACATCATAAAAACGTAATATATGAAATGATGCATTTCAAGGTTTGTTTTGAGTGTGGATGGATAAATAATAATATTGCATTACTTATGGCTGACACTGAAAGCGTCCCATCATTCTACCTCCCGTAGCTTTGACTATGAGAGCGCAGGCTACCAGGCTGCTGATCTGATAAAGATGTATATCCTGCTGAACGGGGAACCTGTGGAAGAACTCATCACCATTGTGCACAGGTAAACATTTTTCCTTCTTCACGAAACCTTTTGAATAAAAGAAGATCCTCACTGGTCTCAGGAGGAGTAACCCTGGCGCTGCTTGACAGCATTCTCATTTTTCTTTGTCCCAGCAGGCTCCCTTAGCTTAATTATTATCGCTAGCAGATTTTTTACGAGTTTACATAATTTCAAGGTTGTGTGGTCCCTCATTACTATAGTAGTTCTTCTCAGTCTATGGGGCATGAAATGTATTTAAACACCAAGGATAACATAAAAAAACGACCTACTGGCAGCCAGTGGTGACATTATATATTATAACGACTTTACCCAGCGGACAAGGACTTTGTTCCATGTGAGACGAGGACAAAAGAGTAAACTCACGGACGAGAAATGATGACGCACAGCAGATCTGAATTGAATGTACTTACTACCAAAGCCAGTACAGACTGGTAAATAAAGAGTGCTATGCTCCACCAACAACGGCTGCTCTATGACCAATCACAGAGCAGAACATCTGTGTAATACAAATACTTTATCCAATTACGACAAGGGCAGATACTTGTGAAGAAATGATTAAAGGAATAGTTTGACATTTTGGGAAATATCCTTATTTACTTTTGTCTTAGTTGAAAGAATGAATACCATTTCTGTCTGTGTATTGTGTTTGGAGCTAGATCAAAGCAAAGAAAAAAAAAAGATTAATATTACAAACTCGTTTCAATTACAATGGCATGTATGAGGGTAATTGTATGTAAACAAAAAAAGGGGGTAACTATTCAGAAAAAAAATAAACAAAAAGTTATAAATTAACAGAAGAAAATGTGGATGTTTTCACAGAAAATAGTTTTAAATGTACTAGAAACACACTCAGATTTGTTTTTATTTTAATGATAGTAATTTGTGAGAAAAACATTCAAAGATTATCTGGCAAAAGTCACACATTTACGAAAACAATATCCAAATTTGAAAATACATTTTCTGAGGGCTATCTTTGCGCATAAATTGTCTTTTTATTTTTTTTATTTTTTTGCTGACTATTACCACCCTTCCTCATATCATTTCTAAAGTATTTATGGTAAGCTAGAATATTGAATGTCCTCTGCATTTATCAGCTGCTGTATGTGGAGGTGTTTGATGCATGGCACTTCTTGCTGGTCGTTTTTTGGTTCTGACCGGTGTGTTGTCATTGCAGAGACCGTGCGTACAACATGGGGAAAGCCATGTGTGAGCGCCTCAAAGACTCCATACCCAGGCAGATGTTTGAGGTGGCTATACAGGCAGCTATTGGAAGCAAGGTCATCGCGAGGGAAACGTAAGTACAAGAGGCAGCGCTAAGCTTCTTTGTTAGACTCATATACGATTCAAAACAACGCATATACAGTATATAAAGAACAATGAATTGTATTTGACTCTTTCAGGATAAAGGCGTTCAGAAAAAATGTTCTCGCTAAATGTGTAAGTCGGATTTGAACTTAACTCTCAAAAGTTGCTGAGTAAAAAAAATGCATCACTAACACTAGTGTTGAAATCTGTATGTTTGTTTGTCCTGGTAGTACGGAGGTGACATAACACGGAAGATGAAGCTGCTGAAGAGACAGGCGGAGGGGAAGAAGAGGATGAGGCGCATCGGCAACGTGGAAGTTCCCAAAGACGCTTTCATTAATGTTCTGAAGAGGAAAGAGAAATAGACTGAAGTCGTAGTAGTATTTTATTGTTATATATATTGATATCATTATCATATGCAGCAGGTTTTTTTAAAAGGCCCTGCCAGATTTTCTCGAAATAAAATAGACATTGTTTCCGCAAACTTTTGTTTTTGTGCCTATTTCCACATTATGCACCCATTATTTAGTTTTACAGATTTATTTTTATATGTGCACACACATAGGAGAGGAATTTAAAGATCAAATGTTATTCAAATATTATAAATCGAATGCGTTCTAACTGTGATATCTATCTGTCATAATTAAATAGCAGAATATCTAGCCTCCTTTTTTGTAAAGGAATGTATAATACATCATTTATTATTGAACAAGTTGCTATTGTTTGAAGTACACATTACTGTACAGTGCAGTTAGTAGCCAATGATTGTATTCCTAGAGCTTTAATAGTCTTTATAATTATTTGATAAACTTGATAATTTGCTAATATCTTTTGTAATTTCAGTTTTTATAGACAGCAAAAGAAATAACTGGCAGATTTACAGATAACTAAAGAATATTGTTTAGCTCTGTATTCAGCAAAACATTGATAATGCCAGTGGAAACATTTCCTGTATAAAAAACGTAATATGCTTATTTAATCATAAGTTTTGGAGACTTTATGAAACGACAGAAACTGAGACAATTAAGCAGTTTATCCACTAGATGGCAGCATTAGCTCAAACAGAAGCAGAAGGGAATTTTCACCCGTGAAAAGATCTCATTGCCAGTGGCGACTCGTCATTAGGGGCTGACACTAGGTGGGGGGGCACAGATCATGTTTAGTCATCTGATTCGTCTGTACATTGCTGTTTTAGTCTGCGTTCTTCTAATTAGTGTCAACACTACAGTGTGCCTATTGAGCCGTGTTGAGCGATGTGGGGCAAGCCCCTCTCTCTGCTGTTAAAATGAACGTGTTCTGTAAAAACTACACTGCGCATGCTCAGAGTATTAGTGCCGCAAAAAAATAATCACCATAGTGCTGCCATACCCACCAAACGTCATCTCGTAATTCAGAGAGCTGATTGGCTGTAAGTACGTGTGCCGCGAAAAGTTTAGATGTGAAGAGGAGCAGTTTATAGCGATTCAGTAAAACGGAAAGAAAATGAATGAAGTTGAACATCTTCAGCTTTGGTAAGTTAATTTTATGTCAAATCTTCTGCTGGATCGATTGATATTGTGACCTCGGTTTTGATTGATTGATTGAAAAGTTTATTAACAGCTTGTATATTGGGTACAGTACAGTACAGCTCAAAACATACAATTGTTAAGGGGATGCAGACCAGAGAAAGACTTTCGTCTTGTTTACATCAGGGTCCCCCATTTCCAATTCATCATATCATTTAAGACATATAAGACATATTTGACATACAGATGGCTTATTTACAATTTACATACAGGTGGTTTTTTACATACAGATGGCTTATTTACAAATTTCATTTTAGATTTCGTTCTAATACATCCTAACCGGACATTTAAGACATACCAAGTCTACAGATATAAAGTTAGTAACAGAGTCTAAAATGCGAGTATATACATAGATGGGGGGGAAGCTGTCCATTGTACGACAGGTTGAGATTTGTACCATTACCGGAGCCAGTTTTGCAATGCTCTCCCCCGAAGGTGCTCTTTAAGAGANTAGACTAGCTTCGTTGCTACGACAAACCCTCGAGGGGTAAATATAATTGGTAAGTGGTTGTTCTAACGTATAAATGAGTATATAGCAGTAATCTACTTATCGTCGATGTCTGACATGACACGACACATTTGACATGACATATGTATTCGCAAAGTCTGTGGTTTATAAAGTTGAAAGTTTGAATTTGTCCCCAACGCGAGGGTCGCGTGCATGGCCCGTGCAACTGATGTTCGTCACCAAAGTTGGGTCACCATGCCCCTGTTTTGCACGAGGAGAGCATTACAGACAGACAGAAACGAGAGCAAGAACAGAGAGCATGTGAGAGGCCAAGGTAAAATGAAAACGGCGATGGACAGAGTGAGAAAAAGGCCGGAGGTCGAAAAGGACGCCTCGGGCGGCGAATTTCCACCCCCCGCGCCTGGCCGCGGTATCTCGGTTAATCTCAATTTCCACCCACCTGGACATTGGACATTTTAGGTATCTAAATCTCCCAGGGGTCACTCGGCAATCGACATTATTCAGGGTATCTATCGCCGTGGATCAAATATATTGCGTCGCAGCTTTTTTACCCTTTTTCCGCGCCGAAATATTCAGGTTTTAATGCCATGTACAATGACAAAATCATGCGAAAATAGGTTTTGTCGCTGAATTGTATGGAGTTAGCCACCCGTTAGGGGCTGCCTCTTTAAACCCCACTTCACAGAAAGTGGTCCCTTGTTGCTGTACGGACTGACGTCACCCCAAACTTGGACACCGAAGGGGGACTAGGAGTTGTGGTTGCGTGATAAGATACGCGTGTGAGGAAAAGGCAAATTTGGAAAAACACAAAAATCCGGATATAGATGCCTACACATACAAAAGACCGTGTTGTGATGGGACTTGATAATTACCACAGATGCTGTTCCTTAGACGCGTTTCATAGTGGCGGGGGGAACTACAAAAGGGTTGAGTACGATGTATATGACAAACTTCAAAAAAAAGGTGGTACTCGTGGTTGTCTTTGACTGCACGAACCGATACATATGGTAATTAAACATTAAAATACCTGCGGCTTATAGTCCAGTGCGGCTTATATATGTACACACATCATTCAATTTAGCTGCTGCGGCTTATATTCAGGTGCGCCTTATAGTCCGAAAATTACGGTAATTTAAAAAAACATTTTTTTATTAAAAACAAGATTAATGGCATTTGATATGCTTGTTGGAAATAGTTTAATGATTAAGGGTTTTGCACAATTTAATAATACACAAAGATAAGAGATGACAAACAGTGCATGAAGAGACAGAAAACTCGTTGGGCTCATTCAAAGCCTCTACCTAAATGATATTAAAAGTCACAAATGTATATAAAACCCAAGATCAATATACAAACAATTGGTTAAATTCAATAACAACTTTAAGCACGACATATTCTATCCTTAAAAATGTGAATATGAAAACCAAGCATCGTACAGTGGTGACATTATTTTGTACGGTATTGCAATGCAACAAGGTACAGTTTTTTCTATTTTACACAACATTTAGGAAGTCATCGCTCTCTGTCTTACTTATAAATGTACAAAAAAAACAATATTACATCATAACATTCTATTTAAAGAGGAAGTAAATCATTAATTATAAAGGGTTTTGATGTAGAGTAGGAACATGTATGGACATTGAGACTTGCAGTGATATTCTTGGACTTGGAGCGCCCTTCTCTATCTCCCTCTCTCCCTGATGGAGTTCTTGAAAAGCATCGACAGTGCCTGACCCTGAAAGAGTGATTTAATGGAGCGGCACCCTGCAACATTTTGAGTCATACCTTTCCTGAGGCTGTTTGTGGTTTTTCTACGTGTTTGCGTGCACGTTGGTGTGCGTTGTCTCAATATGTTGTTCAACAAGCAGCTCTATGTAGTCAGCTGTCCGGTGCAGTGTGCGTGTCATTAATCACAGACCCAACACAGCGGAGCGAGGGAGGGAGGAGGGAGAGAGAAAGGCCGGGCCCGAGTAATCTGTACACAGCACCTAAGGAAAGATGTGGAAGATGTAAGGACGAAAGAAACAAAGAAGAGGGTGGGAATGCGAGAGTTGTCTAGAGAAAGGTATACGTAAACTGTAATGAGGAGCAGAGTGGAAGAGTTAGGGACCAGCAGGGGAGGCCTTTAGCCCTGAGAATTGGTTTCATCAAGGGTGGAACAATTATTCAGAATTCTATCAAAATCATTACATGGACATGTGCAATACTCAAATCACTGGAAGCACAATTAAAGGATAAATGTGTTAAAATACCATTTTGAATGAAGTATTGTGAAACTGCAGAGATATCCTGGCCTACCAATAGTATTCTATGTGCTAGGCATAATATGTATTATTATGTATGTATCTATGTATCTATGTATGTATCCCTATGTATCTAGGCCAGGATATCTCTGCAGTTTCACAATACTTCATTCAAAAATGGTATTTTAACACATTTATCCTTTAATTGTGCTTCCAGTGATTTGAGTATTGCACATGTCCATCTAATGATTTTGATAGAATTCTGAATAATTGTTCCACCCTTGATGAAACCAATTCTCAGGGCTAAAGGCATTCTCAGGGCTAAAGGCACTTTTTTTGTGAGACTGGGTTGGACTGACTCCTGCAGCTACTAATTATAAAAGGCAGTCGGGCACATATGTATACTTATACATACAATGGGTAAAGAGTTCAGCAGATTTCAGGTTTATTTGGACATTATCTTGTTTAATGATGTTTGTTGAACCTGTGTTACAGGAAGGAGATTTCCTGGTCAGGACTCACCATGTTGAATACTGTGATGGGGGGATCCTGGACCCTGATGACATACTCAGTGATCTGGTAGAAGACAAGGACAAGGTAAGAACTGCTGGAGAAAAAGCCATGTTGTGGCATTGCTCCTGGTTTAAGTCTGACAAAGATTTGAAAGAGATCAGTGAGATAGCTTTACTTGATTTAACTTCACTTTAATATAAAAACTGACATTATGACAGTGGTTTTGTCACTTTAAGCTGACCACAAACAGCCATGTAACATTCACCTTCTCAATTCAAACCTGTGAAGTCTGACTAACTCATGTGAGGTTAAATAGCCTCACATCAAAACAGCTTGATTCCTGAGTGACCAACAGTAAGCAGAGTATACACACATGCATGTTACTCAACAAACATAAAGCTTGCCAGTCCACAAAGAAAATAAACAGGTGTCTGACAGCTCTAATAAACCATCTGTATCCCTATTGATCCTTTTGATACCTCTCATATAATGCATTGATCCTTTTGATTTAAAGCTATTCATTGGTCACATAGCAAAGTGTATGGACTTGTACGAATGTTTGAGCAGATTTCTGTGTGTGTGAGTGTGTGTTCACAGTATTGAGCAGCAGTGTCGTCTTAGCCACTCCCTTGGATAGAATATTGCCTCACAAGCAAAATTCAAAGGGAAAAGGTTTTACTTTGCCTTCAGCATTAGGCTGTGTCATTAGCAATTCACTTTTTGGAGACTTTGCAAACTTAATCCATACATCCCTGTTTCCTTAGTTTCCCCTGAGGAATGTGTCATTTTTCATTTTCCCCCTTTGGAAAGGTCTTTTCACTCTGTCATATGGACTCAGGCATTATTAGAATGTGATAAATGGCTTAGATTAAGGGTTTTTTGAACCATAGTTAAGGACCTGAAAGGAATCTGGAACCCTCTCTGCACATTAAAACAGTATCAACATGTTTTAATGAGCCTGTGTCCTATGGTGAACTGAATTTTTCATTTAGGTCACTGCCTAAAACATCTGAGCAACCTACTGGCTAGAAAATGTTATGCACATTACCCCGTGCTCGGCTCATACTGTATGCCTTTAAGGATGTATACATTCTGCAGGATTTGTTGGAGATTCTCTGAACTAATTAAGAACAAAGTTGCATAGGTTGGCAATTTCTCTCAGGGCTGTAAGAATCTAAAGGACTAAAGTGATCTCTCCTTCTCTAAAAAGGGCACACAGTTAATATCTCGCTTTTAGATCTTGTTACCAAGTTAATTTAGTTTCCAGCTGAATGAAAAGTGTTTATTATATTGTGTTATAAACAGCATTTTTGCCCTGACGATTATATTGTCCCACATGACGTTTTAAAAAATATTTGTAGCTTATGATGTTCTCTCTGCTGGATGAGTTTCCCTCATGAGCCCTAATGTCTCAAAGTGAGCCGGAGAGTTACATGATGACACGCTAAGCCCCCGCCCAGGGGCCACACGACTCCATGACAGGAGCAATAACAGAATCAGGAGACCAGCAACTGACCTCAGGGATTACTATTATGAGAGCCTGTTGCCATGGTGTTGTAGAGCTTCAGAGAGCAGCATTCACCCATCCTGCCGTTGGATAGTTTTCACTCTCCCTATGCCAAATTCAACAAGAAGTACCTCCCGTAGCACGTACACTACTTCTGCTATCAATCCCACAGTACAATGCTCTGTTTTATAGATACCAATCATGGATGTACACGAATAACTCGATACAGCGTTTGAGGCGAGGCCCTGTTCATTCATAAAAAAGTTGCTTATTGGAGCATAAGCCAAACTGGCCTGACACTCAAGAACAAAGAGCATGTGCACTTGTGATTTTCTTAAGCCCCGCCTCCAATCCATCATGGCAGAATTGTTGCTGTTTATGGCACAGCCAAATGAATAAAGGCAGACAATTACTCGGCTCTAATATAATATTAAATAATATTTGGGGTAATCATTGCCTTTTATTTAAGTGACAGTGTTGAAAGGAGGAGACAGAGGGGAGACATACAACATATGGTCCGAAGCAACTCCTGTTGGAACAAGGGAATCTTTTGGACACAGCCCATATATACTTTTAAAAGGTTTTAAAGAACAGCTGGGCAACAGTTGACACAAAGGCAGTGGTTTATTACCATGGAGATGAAACGGTCCAAACATGTGTAAAGTTTATCTAACGTGTGCCAGATTAAGATATTTATAGCCCCTTTTGTTAATGTACCCTCTTTACCTTAATCTGAGCTCTAACCAAGAACCCTGAACACATTTACGTAGTCACAACGGTAATCTAACTTGGTCAGTCCTTGTAAAATGTTCATATCATTTTTAATATCGCAAGTCTATAATTGAATGACGTGGTATTAACTTCGCACTGCAAATCGTGCTGAGAGAAAAATTAGCATCTTGTAACGTAACGATTTCTGATGTCACTTAAGGTCTTGTTATTTTGAGTTTACTTCTTATTTCACATATTTCTATAAAACCAGAGGTTTAGGGTTAAATATAGGAGTCAAATGCAAATCATAATTAAATGTAAACGAAGGTGCCCATTTTATTGTTCAGATGCGCTTCAGGATATACGTCAGCAATAAACGCGTCACTGTCAACACAGCCTTTACAGTCAGCGCTGATTCTGACCTTGTGTTGTTGCGAGAGGGTTGCCAGTTATCAGGTGATTGTTTCCGCGGCTTTCGATGTCTTCAAATAGTCTGTTATGGAGGACACTGATTCACAACTCACTATAGCGTTCTCATTCATCTATGAACAGAGCTTCACTGTTAAAAACTCAGATCAGATTGAAGAAAACTGAGTTAATGAGTTGATGTAAAAAGAGGCCAAGTTTAACCTAGCTAAAAATGATAAGCACTGGTTCATTTGAATTAGGGATGCCAGAAACTGACCATGATCAAAATCGAAAATCGGACAGCCCTGGCGAATAATAATCGATTATTCGACGCCTGCACTATATTTTGGTTGAAACTAAGCCAGGAAAAAAAAACAAAACATAAATAATAATAAAGAAATATATAAATAAAATCGAATTTTAAAAATAATTTTCGATTATGGAGAATGTAACGAATATTCGAATAATCGAATAATCGCTGGCATCCCTAATTTGAATAGTAGGATAAGTGGTATACAAATATAGTATAAAAACACATGGATACTATAAAATAAAATGTTCCATATGCGGATAAAAAAAAGTGCCTCACTCTAATTCCCCAAAACACACATACAGTGGGACGCACGCACGCACGCACGCACGCACGCACACACACACACACACACACACACACACGTAACCCGTGCAGAATGATACCCAGCAGTACACACTTCTGAGCAGCAGAGATTGCATATGAAATGAAAGTGTGAAATATTCATTGGATTCTGAAGCGAGACTCTCATAGTATTACTGAGCTGAGATGAATAAACGGCTCCTAATCCCAGATGAGTGTTCTACTGTAGCCCAGACTCTCACTGACTGGCTTTAGGTTTAGACCACAAAGAAAACACAGAAGAGTTTCGAGGTCTGCTGAAGACAGAGGTCAGAAATACTGTTTAAAAAATCCATTGCTGAAATACAACCGAGTGCTGCATTTGAAGGAGGGCTCAGATTTCTGAATGTTTAAGGTGGTATGGTACCTACTATGAGGAAGTGTGCTGCCTATTTGTAGGCTTATAAATGTAGGGTATATTTACGAATCTGTCTATTTTGGATTTTGATCTATTATATGATGTGATGTGGGACATGTTTAGCTTAGCGTGGTGTAGCTTAGCTAAGCAAAGCATAGCTTAGCGTAGAGGAAATAATAGCAGTAAAGGGGAACCGTTAGCATAGGTCTGTCAATGCTACATTTAGGTGCTGAGTCTTTTTCTAGGCAAATTGGTAAAAGAGACAACTTCACTTTGACAATTTGTTTGATGGTTGTTCAGTTCCTCTTTCATCTTTCAAGTAATATCTACATTTATAGACAGAGCTACAGAGGAAGGCAAATAAATACATTAATAACATGAGAAAGAACCATTGTTCAGTAGCTAAACCCTTTGCATTATCCCCTACCACCTCAAAGAAAATAGTTTTAGCAGGTGGAAATATATGGAAAACTATTTAACTATTTTTCTAATGTGTTTCCTGTGCAAATGTACCTTTTTAGACCGCCGCACAAGCCCACTTTTTCTTCTCCATTCCCCTAATGTCTCCCTTGCATGTTGTTTATCAGGCCCACTCCCATCTTTATGTCTAGGAAAATGAAATGTAAGCAGGAAGTCTGGATTCCCATCAGCAGTTTCCATGTAGCTGGAAGTGTAATTCCTAATGTATTTTTCCAATCTGGAAGGTATTGCAGAAACAGCCGTACAGAGAACAGGGTTTGTTTAAAAGGTTAGCTGGTAATGGATAGCAGGGGTGGGTGGGGGGGGGGCACTGTTGCCTTGTATAATATTGATGTATGTTCTAGGACATTAATAATAACACATGCTGTTGATCAAATGCACTCATGCAAACACAGACCAAAAACACACTTGGCATGCGTTCCTTTGCAAACATCAGGGTTAAACACAAATATTCTTCAAACAAGAGCGCTGGTGATCACTTCAAGCATACATTTACATGTCACTGATACAAACAATGCATTCTATTATGGTGGGAGTGCATTTGTTTGTTTACCTTACACACATAGTAAGCCTAATATTATTGATCTATATAAATGAGGCTAATTAAAAACCTACAATCAGAAATCACACTCTACCAAATTGCTTCAGCCGAACTTTGTCTTTTTAACAATTTAACACATACGCATACCTTAAACACACATGCACCCAGTAAGGCTGGTTAATGAGGCTAACATTAATCATAATATTAATTTAAATGTCTTTTATGCATTGTGTCATACCACAATATGGCAAATGTGTACACAATTGCATGGTGTTAATTTAGTGTCTAATTTTAACTTTGACAAAATGTTTATATAAGAGAACACAATATGATCATATCATTATGTTTTAATACCATTGAAAGACGTTTATAATCGTTGATACCCGAATACATTCTCGTGTTTGACCTATTTCAATGGAAAGAATATTTGGGCACCAGCTAGCCTCAAGGTAGGTAGGCTCAGCGTGAGCAGAACTTTAATCATGGGTAATTGTGCCAATCATTATTTTGACTATTAACTAGTCACGCACATGAACATTACATGGCAAATGGTTTGGTTTGATTGTATTAAGATACTAATGGCCTTTACCAGGACTTCTTGTTGGTTCAGATACTAGCTAAATGTTTCTATTCATGAACACCTTTACTCTCTCCAAGGCATTTTTTACATTTTTCCTTTCCTCTAATACAGTGGTTCTCAAACCTTTTCTGTCAGGCCCCCCCTTTGGAGAAAAAAAAAAGTCGGACCCCCCCAACACAAATAGTCAGGCTCAGTGACGACGCCAGAGATTTACTTTGGGGGTGCTGTGGGGTAGCTTGACGTTTCATAGAGGGTGCTCAAACATTTAGGGTTTCTCATTAATGTACCGGTCGCTACAGTGGAATTTTCTAATGCAACAATCCCCACGCATATACACAATGTACCCGCGACTGTTACAATGAAGGCTCGATAATCAGCTCACGGCATATACAGTTGCAAGAAAAAGTATGTGAACCCTTTGGAACTACCTGGATTTCTGCATAAATTGGTCATAAAATGTGTTCTGATCTTCATCTAAGTCACAACAATAGACAAACACAGTCTGCTTAAGCTAAAACCACACAAACAATTATATGTTTTTATGTTTTTATTGAACACACCATGTAAACATTCACAGTGCAGGGTGGAAAAAGTATGTGAACCCTTGGATTTAATAACTGGTTGACCCTCCTTTGGCAGCAATAACCTAACGTTTCCTATAGTTGCATATCAGACCTGCACAATGGTCAGGAGGAATTTTGGACCATTCCTCTTTACAAAACTGTTTCAGTTCAGCAATATTCTTGGGATGTCTGGTGTGAATCGCTCTCATTGAGGTTGAGGTCAGGACTCTGACTGGGCCACTCCAGAAGGCCTATTTTCTTCTGTTGAAGCCATTCTGTTGTTGATTTACTTCTGTGCTTTGGGTCGTTGTCCTGTTGCATCACCCATCTTCTGTTGAGCTTCAATTGGTGGACAGATGGCCTTAAGTTCTCCAGCAAAATGTCTTGATAAACTTGAGAATTCATTTTTCCGTCGATGATGGCAATCTGTCCAGGCCCTGAGGCAGCAAAGCAGCCCCAAACCATGATGCTCCCTCCACCATACTTCACAGTTGGGATGAGGTTTTGATGTTGGTGTGCTGTGCCTTTTTTTCTCCACACATAGCGTTGTGTGTTCCTTCCAAACAACTCAACTTTGGTTTCATCTGTCCACAGAATATTTTGCCAGTAGGGCTGTGGAACATCCAGGTGCTCTTTTGCAAACTTCAAACGTGCAGATCAGAACACATTTTATGACCAACTTATGCAGAAATCCAGGTAATTCCAAAGGGTTCACATACTTTTTCTTGCAACTGTATGAAACACAAAAAGCAGGACATCTCCATATTTCAGATTCTGAATACAGATATTCATGCATAAAAAAATACTTGTGTTATTTTACTGTGGATCAAATAAGTGATATGTTAACCGTTGCAGCTCTGCTTCACAGTATACCTGTTATGGTGGTGACCCATTCCCGTAGCAGCGTCCTAATGTCCGTCATGTCGTAGGCTCCGGCCAGCACAGGAGCAGGGCGGCGGGGGATGAATTTGGACTCTGCGATGTCTGCTTTAGGGTTTGACGTGGAGGGACCGTTTTCCGTCTATGAAGAAAGAAAAAAAAAGGTGTGAGCCGTAAATGATCTTCACACACTGCCACCGTGTTTATGAAGGAAATTGTTCTTGACTTACCTTCAATGTGTTTATTGGTTCCCGTGGTTTTAGAGGGGGGGGCAGGGTTTTGGCCGGGCTGTTTGTCGTGTTTCGTCTCTTCACAGGCGAGGGACCTTTTTTAACGGGACTCCCTGCATTTTTTCTCTTGTAGCGCCGCTTCACCCGACCAACTCCAACTCCCGGCTGTTTGAGCTGCAGCAGAGGATTCTTCTGCTCCACTGCTGAGAAACCAACAGGGAAAACATGAGACAAAGAGAATATCGCTGCTTATATTAAGTCAAAAAAAGCTCAACTCAATCCTAACAAATCCCCCTGGAGACTTACATATTTTTGCCTGAGGCTGGACATGTGTTACTCGGTTGTAGGCATTCTTCAGTTCGTCCTGCAGCTCTTTGGGAAGGGCGGCAAACACGTCCGGATCAACCTGCAGGCAGGAAGCAGGAAGACTTAGTGAAACAGGACAACTAGTCGCAAACTTGTTTCACTATATACCACAGTTGTCAATAAACTGTTAGACTGAATTTACTGTAAAAGATAGAAATATTGATATTAAGTAAATAATTCAGCGCCTCTTAAATCACGCTCTTGGACAGTTGTTATAGACGTACTCTCGTAATTTGGTTGAATTCAGTTGACCAAAAACAGAATGAAATGAATGATATATAATGTAATATAATATATTATTAAATTAGTTAAATATTACTGACAGTATTTTTTTTTTTTTTTATATGTGACATTTTATATGTTACATTTTAAATTACAGCTTTTCTGTATAATTTGTTACGGATAAAAGGTGCTTCGTAAAGACATGATTTATCAATATTTTTTTAACATGCAAGCAGATTATGTCCTGAAGGCTAAATCTCAATGGGTTGCCTTCCTACCTGTGAGAAGTGTGGCAGTTCCAGAACAATCCCCGGACTGTCGGGCTGATCTGGGAGCTGAAGCAGCAGCGTGCCGGCGGGGGGCGTGTACAGCGCTGAGGNTTTTCATCATGAACATTAAAATAAAATAATAAAACTTATTGACTAATTAATTTTAATTAAAATTACAAGTTAGTAGCTATTAAAGGCATAAAAAGACAGAAATGTCTGTCTTTTTATGCCTTTAATAGCTACTAACTTGTAATTTTAATTAAAATTAATTAGTCAATAAGTTTTATTATTTTATTTTAATGTTCATGATGAAAATCATGTATTGCGTTACAATTATTTGTAAAAAAAAGAAAAAAGTCTAAATATCATATTTGGCCTCAAATAATCTGAGGCCTGGCGCCCCCCCTGCGATATTTGGCTCTCCCCCCCAGGTTGGGAACCACTGCCGTAGAGGATGCTATTGCAGTAGTCGAGTCCTGATGTGATGAATGCATGAATCAGGGTTTCAGCAGCAGAGGAGGAGAGTGATGGGCGGAGACGGGCAATGTTTTTGAGGTGGAAAAAGGAGGTCCTGGTGATGTGATTTATGTGGTGATTGAATTTGAGCTGACTGTCGAAGATGAATCAGGGGTTGCGGATGTGAAGAGGAGGAGGGGGGGGTGAAGGCAATGGTGAAGTTGAAATTCTGAATGATTTTGCCAAGGGGGGAGCATAGAGGATGAAGAGGAGGGGGCCAAGCACCGAACCCTAGGGGACCCCTTGGGACAGAGGAGCAGTGGAGGAGGTGCAGTTGTTGATGTGGATAAACTGATGTCTGTCGGTGAGGTAGGATTTCAGCCAGGAGAGTGCAGTGTCGGTGATGTTGAGTGATGATTCGAGGAGGGACAGCAAGATGGTGTGGTTGATGGTGTTGAATGCTGTGGTGAGGTCGAGGAGGATGAGGATGTTCAGGTTGCCGGAGTCAGAGGAGANGAGGAGGTCGTTTGTGATTTTCAGAAGAGCTGTTTCGGTGCTGTGTTATGATCGGAAACCGGATTGAAATGGCTCAAAGAGGTCATTGGAGCTGAGGTGGGATTTAAGTTGTGAGGCAATGACACGTTCAAGTGTTTTTGACAGAAAGGGGAGACTTGGGATGGGAGGTGTCACAGGGGAGAAGTGGGACAGGGGCTGTGAGGTGAAGGGGGGGAGCCAGGAGGGGAGGTGGGGGGTGCTGATGAGGGTGTCAGATTGCTGTAAATGTTGCTGATTTTGGTTTGGTAAAAAACGAGAGTTGCACTGTTCGGTGGTGAAGGATGAGGTGGCGTTGTCACAGGGTTTGAAAAGTTTGCTGATGGTGGAGAACAGACGCTTGGGGTTGCTTAATGCAACTTGATAGTATCTATACTGTCTAACCCCGGATGATGTATTATTTTTTACATTTAAGAAAGCTTCTCCAGAGCAACAGAAATCATTGCTGACATTTCTTTCACAGGCTTAGCACTCGTGAACTAAATGTAAAAAATGGTAGGGTGCCCCTTTAGGCCCATTCTGACATCATATCAACGTCATATCAAATCAAATATTTCTCTACATCTTATAGAAATGTAAAATTGGGTAGTAATTTTGTTACTGGCAATGTTAGGGTTTTAGCAATTTGAGTATAATTCTTCAGGTTTGACGTTTTTTTTACTTTCTAAAACTATCCTATATTTAATAAGCGAAAAACAATAGTGGATGCAGATGCAATAAAATACTGTTGAACTTTAAATGACAAAGGATATTAAAAATCAGGAAGTGAACATATACAACAGCCCTACAGTTGATAAGAAAACCATGTGTCACCGTGACCAAGAAAAACTAATAACTAGCACTGATTAACACATTCATCTCCGGTTGCGCAACAATTATTGTGTAAATAGCTATCACAGTTGGATCAAATCCAAAGCAAGCATTACAAAAGGAGGGAGAAAAGTGCCTTGAACTGATTTTTATAAAATATTTAATGCTATAATAGATTCTGTAGGCTTGAAAGAAATCTGAAACTGAGTGTAAATATTCAGTATTTGTTCAGCTGTAACACCGAGGTCAGTCATGTGAACACACAGTCCCTGATTGTGAAAAAAGATCTGATCACAGTCACACCGCCATCAATAATTCTGTTTTTACTTAACGTTCTAGTCGGGTGTCACATTTTTGAAACCTTTCGTCACAGTGACTGTAAAGGGGCCCGATGACGCTTTTTGGTGTCTTCCTTTTCCTGTGATATAGGTTTTGTGCATGTAAATGACACGCCCCAATTGGACTCCTTTGTTTACTTCCGTAACATAGTGACATCACTATGCAGTGGTGTAAAGTAACTAAGTACATTTACTCAAGTACTTTATTTAAGTAAAATTATGAGGTACTTGCACTTGAATGAGCATTTCCATTTGATGCTACTTTTAACTTCTACTCCACTACAATTCAGAGGTAACTGTACTTTTACTCCACTACACACCACATTAACATAGTACCTTTTAGTTATATTGCTGATATTAAATAATGATGTGAAATGTAATCAACACTTAAATAAGACTACACTTCACCTGGATTAAATTCAAATGCTACCCAGCTGTAAATTAAGTAATTAAAATGAGTTCCACCTTTACCAGCTGTGATAATCATATTAATACATCAATAATTATAATCATAAGACATAATAAATATGATTCTGAAATGGGCCAATCTGCATAATGAGTACTTTTACTTTTGGTACTTTAAGTATATTTTGATGCCGATACTTTTGTACTTTTACTTTAGAAACATTTTGAATGCAGGAATTTTACTTCTAACAGAGTATTCCTACACTTTGGTACTTCTACTTAAGTACAAGATCCGAGTACTTCTCCAACCTGTCACTATGTAACACTCGCTCTTTTATTGGCTGACGCTCCAAAACATTGTACGTGATAGGCTAAGAGGCGGGACATCTTTAAGCGGTTGACTAATCACAACAGAGCCGGCCAGCTAACCAATCAGAGCAGACTGAGCTTTGGTTTCAGACAGAGGGTGAAAAGAGGTGCTGCAGCACCGGCAGTATGAGAGAAATAAAGAGCTTTTTGAACATTAAAGCATGGAGACATTTCACAGTAAAGGAAACAAAATACCTGCAAGTTAGCATAATATTGTGCACAATGTTACATAAAGAAAAACACACAGTTGGCATAATAAGATAATGTTTTTTCTTTAATAGCTTGATTCATATCAAAATTCATTTTCTTTCTTTATAAAAATAAAACATTTTCTCTGATTGGAAAGAGCATTGCATCACAGTACATGTTTTCAGTTATTTTATCTTTGAAGAGCTAAAATATGCTTTCTGTTAAATTCTTAGAACTGACAGTGTGTTTTGTCACAATAAACTAAAATACTATTTAGATGAAATTATTCAAGGCATTGTCACTCAAACACACATAGGAAAGGATAATGGACGAGTGTGGTTGCTCCCTTCCTTTCTGACTGGAGGAAAGGTCAGATCCATTCACTGAAGAAGAATTTTGATTGGTCTTCCACTTTGACCTTTTTATGATACATACATCATGTGTATCAACATATCCTGCAAACACTAAAAGTATAACACTGTCAGTTAGGTGTATCCTCAAAACATCACAATTTGAATTATTTTTATAAAATGTGAATAGCACTTTTGACTACTTTTTGTTTGTATCAGCATAAAGAATTGCTTTTATGTTATGAAAATATTCCAAATTGAAGGAAAAAATATGTCATTATAGTGTTGGTGGTTGAGTTTATATGAAAAATGTTTCTTTAATCGTCTGTACACACTGCAATGTTGTGAATGAATTAACTGACTTAAAAAAAGAAGAGAAAAGACAGAATTATTCCAGCAATTTTTCCAGTAAGAATAGTATTATATATATCAGTTGCATGTCCGGTGGCAGGTGTCAGAGGGAGCAGGGGTACTTGGTCCAGGGAGGCAGTCTTCCTGTTTCATTTGCCAGCCTCCAGTACCTCTCCTTCAGGATGAATGCTGCCGCTTTGGGCTGCCTCTGCCTGGTGAAAACACCCTTCTTGTTGCCCACCACACGGGTGATCCCTGCAGACACAAGACCACATGAACTTTGTCATGCACAGGAAATAAAAATATACCCTTTAAAATGTAGCAAGACTTAAGAAATCTGGTTATTAATATCCATTACATTAAGCTTTCACAGTCATAAGAGGTGGCTATTCAGTCTAACGGAAGATGTGTAGACAGCATTCCTGATATCTACAGGGAGCTTTTAGAGCCAAGATGGCAACAGGTTTTTTTTTTTTTGAGGAGTACCTGATTCTCACTCGCAGTGAGGGAGTGGGGAGCCGATTGGCTGATGCAGAGCGCAGTGTAAGTTTAGGGTTATGATAAGGCTACTGATCATCTGTGCAGACGTGTCTTTCACACATCTGTGCTGCAACACGTTTGTCCATTGTACAACTAGTGTAGGAGCCACATGTAAAGTATCTTCTGTGTTTGTTATGTCACATTTTTTGAGTCACTATATGTGGTGGGCGTGTCTATTGGATTTGTGTGGTTATATCAGGTTGCTTTTACCTGTGCACTTTGTCATAGATGGAGGGGGAGTGAGCTGGAGAAGGACAATTTTTGTTGACCGCATGCACGCATATGCAATCACTATACGGACTAGAAATAATTGTATGTTTGCTTGTTTTGTTTGCAAATAAAAGGTCAAACGCATACCAGTGGAAATACTTTTTTCTTGCGCGTCAGACAATGTTTTTCTCTTGTTTAGTGCCTCGCGGCACTACTTTTGGATTACTACAGCCGCAACAATTAGTATTGATAAAAGTTTTCACAAATCGGAGAAAAATGGTCTGATGAGCTGAAAACTAGATAGGTTTTATTTTCCTACAACAACAAAAAAAAACACGATGGTGGCGGAAGTTGCAAAGAAGAGTGTCAGTGTGTGCAAACCCAGAGTTTCCAGAATACACACATTAAAGGCGTTATCCTCAGCTGATGTTTTTTTTTCAGCTAGCTTAGTAGATAACACTTCCTTGCTCTGTTATATGGTTGGAGGTTGGAGTTTTTTAAAAGGATATAGTTCCTACATGAAAAAGGTCTGTGGATTATCTTACGCAACAGGGTCATGATTTCTGGAGAGATATGCTGTTGACTTGAACCACATACTGGGTAGACTCCTCCAGTGCCTATATCTCCAACACTTGGCTTCTCACACCAAAACAATCTAGATGGATACTGTTACGACCCCCTCCACTCCACTAGGGGTCTCTGCCTTTGTGTTCTGCTTGCTGGCTATTGTTTGTGTTTCAGGTGATCAACCTGATGAGCCACACCTGGGCCGTCGACATAAAAGGACAACACCAACCCATACTGCCCTCTCACTCTTCTTTGTTTCTGCACAGTTTCCCACACCCATACACGCAATCATTACTGATAACTGACTTCCACGTTTATTAGGTTTCTTTGAAGACCTTTGGTTTTGGTTATAGTAAATAAATACGCTTTTTGTTTCACTTAACTTGTCTGGTCTCCCATCTTTGTTGCAGCCTATGAGCCAGGTCCAAACTTTTTGACATTGTTCTAATTCTGTAGTGCAGCTATCTTTTCTGCTTGTAAGTGGATTGAAGGGCTGAGACTGATTACAACAATCAGATCAGCTGTAACTTGGTAGCAGGTGCACCTCGTTGTGTGCATGCTGGTTGTTTGGGAGACAAGGACAAGTGTGGTGAGTAGATGTTTGTTTTTGTTGGATAATGTAAGCAGTTGTAATGAAATGCAGGTGGGTGGTGTTTTTGTTTTTCGTCGCTAAGCTGTAGCCGATTGTTGGTGGTCCTGTGAGTGTCTAGCACTTCTGTCCCTGTAGGCTTCAGAACGGACTCCCTTTGGAATTAGTTGGGGGGTTTTAGTGTGGTGTTGACGTGTTTAGAGCTATTAGCTCGGGATCACGTCCAAAGCTGCGGGTGGAGTTGCTAATTGCTAGCTGCTTTACCGGGCTTGTGGGTTTCAGTCCATAAATACCCACCATAAGTAGCACCTGAAGACTAGGGGGGAGATTAGGTAGTTTCTGTTTGGTTTGGTAGATAGAGGGACATGACTGCTGTTGTATGTGCTATTTTTGAGATCGGCTGAAAATGTGTTAAGTGACATTACAATGTTGTTATCTGTCTCGCCTTAGTTAAATAATGTTGGTGTTTTCCTGTTGGTACTTAATCCTGGTAAACCGTTTGGCTTTATTAGTTCTAAAACAAGTCTGGGTTGTGGTGGTATCTTAGTGCAGGATGTTACAGTGGTTTATGTGGAAGTAATCAGATGGTAGCAAGAGGGAAGTGCAAAATGGTAATTTGTTTGAAGTGTCTGCAAGTGGTTGGTTAGACCTGTAAGCTTTGGGAACATACGCGCTGCAGTTCATGCCTTGGTTGGGTGAGCTTTGCGTAGTTTGGTTGCCTCTTTGTGCTGTGCTTCTGTGGAAGACTTGGTTGGCTAGTGAGCCGTTTGTTTCAGAGGAACCTTTGGTTTGACGCTTATGTTGATTCTAGTTTGTGATGGCTGGAATCTTGGTGAGGGCAAAGCTTTAGCAAGCTTTGCCTAGCTGCAGGTAATTTGTCGGACTCTGGTGAATGTTAATCTGTTTTTGGACCTCCTGTTAATGCTCTTCCATGCATGGTCCATCACCCTTCTCTTCAGTGTGTGTTCTCTCTGATCTCCATCTTTCCTGTAAACTCTTAAAAAGCTTCCTTAGGCCCTGATATTGCGAGTTTGCATCTCTTAAAAGGCTTCTTCAGGCACTAGAGTTGCTGGGTTGAAAAATGGAGACTGGGTGAACACCGATATGTATTTCAAACCGGTCAGTATGGAACATGTATATGTAATTTTGAACTTTGCATTTCAATATTATCCTGTGTTGGTTGCTATGTTTGGATGGTGCCCCCATGGTGGTGGGTGGGGGGTGGGGTGTAGGTGGTGTTACCTGGTTTCTGCACATTTTCATACAAGCAATCATTACTGATAACTGACTTCCACGTTTATTAGGTTTCTTTGAAGATCTTTGGTTTTGGTTATAGTAAATAAATACGCTTTTTGTTACACTTAACTTGTCTGGTCTCCCATCTTTGTTGCAGCCTATGAGCCAGGCCGTAACAGATACATAGAACTGCAGGCACAGTGTATAAACTGGGAGAAATAACAGCAGATTTCATGATCTCCAACTATGGTACCTTGCACCGTCATGAAGTCTGCAAAGTTCCAGATGAGTTCGCCGATCACATACTGCTTCCTCTTCTGGTCGAATACGTCGTGGCAGCTCTGCAGGACCACCTTCTGGTACTCCTCAGTAAACATCATGGGTGGATCCTAGAGAGGAAAAGAGACATTAGCAAGCATTAGCATGCTTCTGGGGAAACAAATCCAAAACAGATTTAGGTAGGTGGAGGAAGACAAAATCGTTAATGCATTACAGGCTATCAATGCTACAAAACAGAAAGTAATACAAATACTGGTGCACTGCAGTGGGGTAAATAGAGTTCTTACACTGTGAAGCCCTGGCACTGCATCGGCTCCATATTCACTCTGGATGATGGGCTTCTGGTACTTTCCATACCAGTTCTCAAACTGAGTGTTGAGCTGAAGGGGGATGACCTCCAGGTGGCCGGGGTCGTGGTACCAGGAGAAGTAACTGTTTATGCAGATCACATCCACATAGGGAGCCTAGGGATGAGAGAAAATACTTAATGAGTCTTAAAGATACTCTTCACAATTTAAAATGTTCTTTTTGAGTGTAAATTAAGAAATGAGGCAAGATACAAATCATTATTACCTTACAGAAGATTGAATGTTTGCACGATATAAGGAATTATGGACTGGCAGTGTTTTTCCCTTTTGGCCATGACAGAGTGAAGCAGCAGTCATTTCTCACACAGCCACAGTTATTTGCCTTGAGGTTAATAAATAGTGGCTGCAGGTAGTCAGCTAAATAACCAGTACCTTTAGGTATGGAATTACACCCCGAAAGATATTCCTCACAGCCCAGGAATGTGGGGCATGTAAACAACTTAGTTTGACATTGGGTTTGCAACCTCTGAAGCTCAGCAGGATAACACACACTTTTACATCAGGCCTTTTAGTCTGATCATGACTGATCTTATTTACTTTATGTATATAGACTATATATACATTAAGTAAAGAAGATCAGTCATGATCGCACAGACACACTTTTTCCACATTACCGGTAGTTATCTTCACTCTACATGTGTAGAATTTCAGAATAATTATCTGATTATATCATCAGTATCTGCCCTTAAATAGATACAGTATTTTTGTATTTATCCCTAGTTTCACATGTTTTAGTTTTTTCCCCCTGATGTCATCCAGAACAAAACCAATGATGTCAAGCAACTGTTGCTTTTGAAATGTATGATAAAATCCAATATGGGAAAGTGTCAGTATCTGATTTTAAAAAGTGACTATCTCATATGTTCTGCATTCACTGGCTTCATGTTGATATTGGAGAGAATATCATAAAAACTCACCCCTTTGTCCCGGGCATAGTGACTGTTTGAGACGTAAGTGACGGGCCGGGTTGGATCCAGAGCTTTGGTGTGTTGTATCAAAGTCCTGTATGCGAAACATAGTTTTTGTTTCATGATAACGTTTTGTATAGTCATTACAATGTCACAAAGGGCTAACTTTTGTTGTTAAAAAACACCATATCTGTATTTTCAGTATGTGCACACAGTCTGATGCATATTTTTATTCTATTTTTGAATATATTCCCACAACAAGAAAGTTAATTACCGTAATTTTCGGACTATAAGGCGCACCTGAATATAAGCCGCAGCAGCTAAATTGAATGATGTGTACATATATAAGCCGCACTGGACTATAAGCCGCAGGTGTTTTTAATGTTTAATTACCATATGTAAGGGTTCGTGCACAGAGGGGATTGTGGGGAAAGAGATGGCTGTTTGAGGAAGCTCCCATTTATTAACATTTCAACAAACAAGTTGCATATTTGCATAACGTATTCAAGTGTTACCATTTAGTGCAATAGTAGCTACAGAACATGTACTGTGCTGTGTAAACTGTACTGTATCACATAGCGTTTCAGACACACAAACTTTTCAACTTTCAAACTTAAACGGTGCGCTCCCAGCGCACGTACCGGCAGTGATCTACAGCAATGGTTTTCAACCAGTGGTACGGGGACAAACTGTCTCGCTCTCGTAATGTCTGTCTGTCTTGCTCTCGTTCTGTCTCTCGAACCACTCTCGGTTCCACTTTTACTTTTGCGCGCTACCTGTCTCACTCTTTTCCGGCCTCCAGCTTTTCCTGCTGGAGCCCGCCGCTTAAAGATGGGGGGTGCGGATCGGCTATAGAGTTAAAGGTGGTGGACTGTAACCTGTAAAATCCATAGATTTAGGAGGTCCCCTAGTGGACGTTAGCTGTAAAAATCCATAGATTAGCCGCACCGTTATATAAGCCGCAGCGTCGAAAAATGGGAAAAAAGGCGCGGCTTATAGTCCGAAAATTACGGTACATTGATCAAATGGACATCGTTAGTCCAGGATGTGCCTATGGAATGAATAACATTAGCAGGAAATTGTCATTTAGCTGCTTAGAGCTCAATCCCCACCATCTAATCTTCATACATCCTTTGCTTTGCGATCAGTACAGAAAATCTCAGTTTCTAAAGCTAATTGAGTAAACATGAGGGAGTGTTTATTTTGCTCAAAGTCTTTTAGTCTGTTAGTGGGACATGTTGGACTCGTGGGCACAGTTTGTTCTCGGCACACACCCTAGGCTGCTTTTACGGTTACGGCAGTAGAGCAGGTTGAGCCTCAGGCAGATACTGAGCTCCAGCTGTTAGTGTTTAGGGCAAGTTCATGATATTGACTACTCTTACTGCATTCCACATAGAGGAAAAAAGGGATAGGCTCTGACTGAATAACAAACAAGTACACCCCTACAGCAACACACACACACAGTCTCTAAAGCTTCAAACCTTTTAAAAGTTTGTCATAGGATAGTTAGTTTTTGGGATAGAAAGTGAATAATCCTGCACCCAAAAGGACCAGATATATCAGTTTTGGTAGGAATTAGTGTTTGACAAGTGGATCTAAACAAGACTTACTTAAAATAGAATTCAGCAGGGGGCATCTCTGAAGCCGGCTCATTGGCTACTGACCACATGACCACGGACGCATGGTTCTTGTCCCGGCGTACAAGCTCGTCCATCACGTCCAGGTGATGGTTTAGGGAGGCGTTTCTAAAACTGCGACTGCATCAGCAAGGCACAAAAAACAGAGAAACTGAGTTGACATCTCCTATAAAAACATTTGGACGATTTTGTACATGTGATTAGTTACCTCTTTATCCCCTTAAACATTCTACATTACTGTCTTGCAGAAGATGTAACGGGCTCAGGTTTAAAGCTAGAGATACCGGTACTAGTATCATATGAAACTAGGTACCATAAAGGCATCCATTTGCACAACCCATAGAATGTTAGCTTTTGGGACACAATAGCGCTCCAAAGTTAGGCTACATTTTGTGTAGGGAAAAACTTGTATGGCCATATTCACAGGGGTCTCCTGACCTTTCAGCATAAGATATCTGATTGGAAATGGGTTCTGTGAATACCCATGAGTCTCCCATTTACATACAAGCCAAAGTTCTGCTCTTCCTATGCAGTTTTGGGCAAACACCATGCAGAATGGTACAAAAATCATCCAGTGTTTAGCATGCAGAATGGTAAAAATTGTTCATTTTAATATTCCTGCATGGTGGGTTCCCTTAATAGTCTTGGAATTGCATCAACTGGGGGGACTTTAAACGTTATACTTTACTTTGTATAAAATGAGCTGTTGTAAGCTCTAGGATGATCACAGCCTCATGAAACTCCATAAACACAGGTAATTTAGGAGATTTTTCTTTTGTAGGTATATTAACAATAAGGGGGATTTGAGTAATTTACTTCCATCCAATTGCCTGAGGGGAGTGGAAGAGGTAAACCCGGCACATAACTCTACCCAAAGTTAATATGAAATACTTTATTTTCAATACGCTGTTGATAATATGCAGCTTATTATTATTTCTCAAAGTGGGTTTACTGGGAGCTAAGGGCAAAAACAGTCAGGAGGTTTTCAGGAGTAGCGGTGATGGACTGTCTCTTTCCTTAAAACGCTCTTTCTACCAGTCACATGTTCATGCAGTCGCCCACTCAGAACCTTCAAACACATCCAAAGGTCAGAGGATGAGAGTGGTGACACCTACATGTCTTTGATGCCCACCCCCGGGCACTCGTCTATCACCACGATGCCATGGCGGTCACACATCTGCAGGATCTCCTCAGCGTAGGGGTAGTGGCTGGTGCGGAAAGAGTTGGCCCCCATCCACTTTAATAGGTTGAAGTCTTTAACAATAAGGGGCCAGTCAAAGCCTTTACCCCGAATCTACAACACAAGGGAAAAAGTGGAAGGGAGGATTTATTGTAATGAATAACCATTTTATTTATATCAACATTTTTTTTAAATCATAAATATATTGTCTGATGACGTGAGGTCAACAGATATGCTGCTTCCCTCTAGTGGTACTCACATCAGAGTCTTCGTGTTTATTGACTCCATGGAAATAGAAGGGCTTCTTGTTGATGAGGAACTGTGTGCTGGTAACACTGACGGTGCGGATGCCGACTGGTAGAGTATACACATCCTCATGTGTAGATCTCTCATTGGCTGCCATGAGGCGAACCTAGATGTTTAAGGGCAAAAGTCAGAAACATTTTTTCTTGCAAATCTTTCAGGTGACATAGTAAATAGAAGTGCTGAATACCCAACAACTAAAGCAAGTCAAGGAGTTCTAAAACAAGATAACACACAGAAAGGAGGTGCAAACATTTCAGTTGAAGAAGAAAAGTGAAGGGTGTTAAGATTTTTTCTCTGAGATTCAAAGAGTCATTTGCTGTTGTCCAGGAATACATCACATACAGCATTACTATTATTACAGTGCTTAGCTTTAAAGTGGTGGTACAATTGGATAATTTTACATTATTGTATTATTATAAAAATGTGAATAGCTTCTCCTCCTGACTTAAAGGATGTTTTAGCCACAGTAAAAACAATATTCATTTAACATGGAACACTATAAAGAATGTTTTCACTGTAGGAGCCATTTTATGGGTGTTGTTGGTGTCTCAGTTCACTTTATTTATATGTATAGTGCAATACTATTTTGAACACTTGGTGGCGGGGTTTAGCTGTACCGGGTGTATAAAAGGGGTCATAGGTGACAGGAAAGGACGAGGACACAGGAGGAAAGAGCATATCGAGTCCACCAGCCCGGCAGATGCTCACCACAACCATTGACTTTATATTAAACCTTGGTATGTGAAACGCTAAATAAACAACATTCTAAACGGCAGCAGAGGACCGGAAAGTCATCTGTTTGTGTCTGTGTCTGGATCACTCTAAACCCTCCAGTGAAGTAATGGCAAAAGGATATAGGACATTGGAACATTAAAATTGCCATTACACACTGTTTTACCCTCCAAACTGAGCACCATCACAAGGTAGAGGATGTAGTCTGATCATCATACTGATGTCAATATGCTGTTACCTGCATTATAAACGTATATTCATGCGACCTGACCTGATAGTCATATTGACTAACATGCTGTCTTACCTCCATAGAGTAAAGGTACCCTGGACTCTCATGCATCAAATACGGCCACCACAGATTGACGTCTACTACTTTGAGCACTCCAAATGGCTCGGTGGAGGAGGCCACACAGTGGCCATCTTTGTCCATCAGAGTGACCTTCACTGTGGCTGTGGTAGCACCTTGGACTGATACCTTGTAATTGACTCGACCTGAAACAAAGGGAAAACAACTATGAATAAAGTCACATAACTACTCTTCGTTGGTTTAGATCCCATGTAGCTTTATTGAGCAGTTTCTTCTTTTACAAGTTATTTGGTGGTCATGAGTATTTCAAATTACTTTAAAGCAGTGGTTCTCAACTGGTGGGTCGAGCAATTTATCTAAACATTTAGCAAAAGTGCACCACATTCAGACGGAGAAATGCACCGGGTTCGACTGTCTTTCTAGTAGCTCTGTAGCCCCCCCATCCACGAGTAACTTTTCCACGTCAGCAACACACGGAGTTAACACAATTATACAAGCATGGGTTAATGATTAGAGGTAACAGAGTTANGCGCGGTCGTCCTCCGTCCCCCTCCCGTCCAGGCAGAAAGGGCGAGAGTCTCGAGTCGTTGTCTCGACTCGACTCGTTCTAACGCCCGTCGTAAACGGCCGGGCTTTGAGCCTGTTGATGCATTTTTTTCTTTTTACGGAGACGCACAAACCCTATAAAAACCAAATGAGACAGCGGTCACTGAAAGTAGGTCGTGTTGTCTCTGTCTCCGTGAAGAAACCCCTTACAAATTCTGCCCCCACTCCACTCCACAAAGCTATAAAAAAAATTAGGAATAACGTTGACCAACTGACCACAAACATCAGCCTCCAGCCTGCCCAAAAATTTTGCTTTCCGTAAATGCACGATTTGGTAAGTGCGCTCATTAGGGTTACTTAGTTTACCTTTTATTGCCAAAAATTGTGTACGTGCCTTATTATAACGGTTTGATCAATCACTTATATCGTTATGAAATAAGTTATTCAGTTCATAAATGAGGGCCTTTTACAAATACGATTACTACTATATAAAATTGAATCGAGGTGAAATACCTTTGTTGCAGCTGTAGATGGTTTGCGGACATGAGGCTAGAGTTTTACACGGTAAACGTGTTACACAATACAACCAATGTCGTCCCTGTCAAAACTCCGTGTCAGTGTAATAGAATGAAACGCATCTGTGATTTGGCGCACAGTCTGTGACGTCACGGTATTGAAAATCATACCGACGGTATTTCGAAATACCCTGGTATACCGTAATACCGTCATACCGCCCAAGCCTAGTCTCCACCCTCTTTATACTTTCATTTTGTGTTTCAGTTTTAGTGTGTGCACATAGCCTTGCAGTCTTTTATGTGGATTGACAGTTTGTTTACCACAGTTGGCCCCATCTTCAATTTCAGAGGACAATGGGACTCATCGTTAAAGGAACAAAGATTCTAACAAACCTGCGGTTCCAAAACAAGTCATGAATCATTGTAGACTGTCAATAGGACCTCTCTCAAGAACAGATTTAAGGAAAAACGTGTGTATATATATATATATATACATATAAAAGAAAATGAGGATTAACGGGGATAACATAATTACAATCCATTTACAAAATATGCATATAACAACATCTTTATAACAATACACTAAGAAGCACATTATTTAAGAAACTGCTATAAAGTAACCTTCCCAACCACTTGTGAAGTGGACCACATTTATAGACAAGACGACGTGATCTCAGTTCCTGATATCCAACACCACGAGACACACACTTCTGTACCTCGAAGAATCCCGTCTCCCTCGCTTTGTTAAACTGTGCCTCCACTCAAACTAAATCCCTGGAGTGAGAGTGGAAATAAGAGGGGGAAAGTAAGAGAGCAAGAGCCATGAGATGGGATTACGGGCATAATGCGAGCAGATGGAGGGAGGTCGAGGCTTCGGCAGGACTGTCCACTCCAAACGGATTAAAAGACTTACACAACCACGACATCCCGACAGAGGCTGCGTCTCCTCATGCCTTAGACACCCGGCTGAGCTGGCCTCGCCCCCCCCCAGACACCCTCAACTAAGCCCGGAAATGAAAACTTCCCGCCTTTTAGCATGACACGGTAAACAGTAAGGTCAGGCAAATGTAGATAAATCCACTGCCTCTCAAACACATACATGGGCTATTTGGGCTTTTTTAAAAACCCCTTCCACTCAGGAAACATTTATGCTGATCTTCCTTTTTAAACTTTGTATCAGCATGCATCCTTTTGGAGCAAAACACCTCCCAAATCACAGATGTAACCTGATGCCATCACCCAAACTAGTACCAGAGGGATTAGGCCACATAAACAGCAATATGTCACGTTTCTCCATCCAAAAACATGAAACACATTTTACTCTTAGATGAAGTTCACTAGTTAACGTAAATTCAGGAGCAGGTCCAAGTCTCAAAGACACCTCCGATCGGCTGCTAAACTACCAATCCCTACTTACCCGGTCAACTCATCCGGCCTCACAGATCTCACGACCCAGCTTCTCCTTTTCCCTTCTATTCATTCAATCCCCTTCATACCCCATCCCTTCATTTATCTAGCCCTCCCTCCCTACACCCCTCCTTCTATCCCTTTAACCATCCCTACATCCCTATCTCCCTACAATCCTTCATCCTTCCATACATCCCTACAACCATTTATCTATTCAACCATTCAACGGCCCAAACCACACCCTACCCACTCTGTGAACTCTGTCTGTAGTCAAACTTACAGCTTAACGAGGCTCCCTTCTTCCAGGTGGAGGGTGTGAAAACAGCAGCAAGCTTTGCAAACAAACTCCCCTCGCTCCGGCAGAAACAAGAAATACTGTAACTTTTCAAAAAATTACTTCAAATCAGCAATTTAATAATACTAAATTAAACTAAATTAAACAATGCTTTATACAGTTTCTTTTTTGCAAACCTCTTTTTGTGTTAAAATTGGATGTTTATAAGCTGCTTGGTTTTTGCAACATTGCCTGTAAATAAAACGTTATAATTTAATTGACATGTTAACAAGTGTCTACATTAGACACGGGGATATGACCCTAAGTAAATACAAAGAGGTAAAAACATGAGGTTACATGAAGTCTGTATAACGATATTGAATGTCTATCTTGTTTTACGCAGTTTTCCAGTAGCCTAAATGTTTGCAGGAACTGTTTTTACACAAACGGACGGACACACATAGCGTTGAGTCGGTCAGGTAGGGCAGCAGCAGGTGAAGTCAGGACCGATGCAGACTCTCTGTTGGAGGGCTTGATAACACACTCCCCCTCCACACTCCTTGGATTGGAACAGCACTTAACGTGGCGGACCCTCCACGTGAACACGCAAATTGAGGGGTAGGGTGTAGGGGTAGGGGTAGGGTGTAGGGGGCGAATCGGGCCTCCATCACATCAATTCATCCATTCGTCATCCCTCCCTATCCCTAATCCCTCACTCTCTCTCATCCCTCACTCCCTACATCCCTCCCTTCCTACAACCCTTTAACCATTCATTCCTTCTTCCGGTCTCCCCTTATGTCTTATCTTTTAATATTGTGCATACTTTTGTCTCATTCTAGTTACCATCTGGGGGGCTTCTATTCAGACCGGCCAGAAACACGCCTGTGACAGAGCCCCCACCCTGAGTTTCCCCTCCTCCAGGACTTTAGTTTGTCCTCCAGTCTGGCCTGAAAGACAATATCCCTCATCCTATACTAGGGACTTTCATTTTATGAAAATACGTATGACACTTCTGTCACTGCCTCTCATGCATAGCATTTACATCTTTTGAAAATGTGCTGATAACATTGTTTTTTGTTTCTGTTACTCCTCCACCAATATACCGACAATTCATTCTGCACCAGAATGTCATTATTCCAGCTGTCTCCCGTGTGTGTGATTCCTGTTAATTTGCGAGAAAAAATATAATGACATAGTTTGCCAGAGAAGATAAAACTAGTTTGACTTGCGGGGAAAAACATCATCTACAAATGCACCTCATTGGCTGGTTGCTCGAAAATTCAAAAGTATAAAAAGTTTGGAGACCTGCCTACAAAAAGGCCTATTGGGTGAATTTTGAAGCCAACTAAGTGGCTCCTTAAAAACAAACAGCAGCTGAAAGATAGATGTGATGCTCTATGAAGGAACTCAGAGGACGTGGCAATACTGCAAAAGTAAAAGCTGACATTAAAGAGTAAAAAAGTATTAGCCTTTAGGCGGTTCCATAAGTATTAATACATTTGGAAAGGAAATAATTGGGACAAATAGCAAACATTGTCCCTGGAAGTGTACAGTGTGTGTGACAAGAGCAGCCTCAGCTGCCTTCCTGCATCACAAAAGTTAAAATTACTCACACCAGAAGTTCAAGTTGACCCAGTCACACCCCCAACCCCCCTGGGTTACAGTTACAGGTCAAATGCTGGTTACCTGTCGTAATGCAACAAGCAGTGGAACTGTTCTCCGAGTCAAGTTTAACACCCTAAAACTAGAGCCACTGACGAGTAATCAATGAAAAGAAAATTGTAAAGTCATTGTAAACTCTTTCCATGAAATATGTCAGAAAATCACTATTTTCTGACATTGTATAGATCAAATGATTAACCCATATAACAATTCACATTTTATAGAGCAAACAATATATCGATATAAAATATCACAGATTAATGGAAAATGAAAACAATCATAAGGTGCAGCCCCAGATAAAATGTAATGTATACTCATTCAAAATGTTTGTTCATCTGTCCACAGTCCAAATATGTTGGGTATTTTGGTGCATTAACACAAGCGAAGAATAAAGTTTTAAATACAAAAAATATATATAAATATATACATTTTTAAACATGTGCAAAAGAACATAACAAAACATGAAACATTTCCAGAATATAAGAAATTAAAGTGGCAGAGCTTTGCAGTTCTAAAGGGTAGCATTAAACTAAATATGCAAACATGTGCATTATTATCATTTAACTTTTCTCATGTATGTGCTTTTTTGTCTATTTTGAATGTATTGGTCTGTCTTAATGTGTTTTTAATTTTGCATTAGTGCTTTTGTATGTTCTGTAATTGTGTTCATGTGTTTCTGTCCGTGTCTATATGTGTTCTATGTCTTCATGTATTGCCACAAACCTGCCAGGGACTGCATAGGAAAATTATCTTTTGTAGTTAAATTTGGCACATTTACATGATGGACTCAAGTTCTGTTGTTAATTCATATGTATTGTCCCTTTTTAATAACAAAAATATATAGATATGCAGAAGTGTGTGTAATATACTTTATACATTATGCTCTAGTCTCCAGTGTCAAAGCTAATTAGCCCTGTGTTGCATCCCTTCACACATGCATGTATTCATTTGCATCCGGCTGCGTGTTGACTCTGTCTCTGCTCATGCTTTATCCGCAGGTGATAATTAACCTGTTGGTGCGGTGGCTGTCCCTCCCTGCTCCCACCCTGACATCCCAGCTTCTGTTGCTGCTGGCAGCGGCAAGGCAGCAGACACAACAACACCGCCATCATTTATCCAAGCACATGAATCATCATCACCGCTGATGAATGTTACTCAATTGAACCTCTATTGTAAACAGCAGGCACTCCGACACTGCTTAGCCTGAACTCTCCTGGACTGCAGGACCCGAGCTGGGGAGTGAGAGGTTGCCTGAATACTGATGCTGGTAGCTGATGTAGCTACGGTTAGCGCTAGGGGAGTCACTCTGTGTTGAAAAGAGGTGTAAGTATAGGGGTTAGAAGTTTTTACAATGGTCTTCACGATATACACTTCCAGGCAACGTAATGAGGGATCAATTACCAAGATAGGGACAGTGGTGTAAAGTCTCCACATTTACTCAAGTACTGTACTCAAGCATCATTTTAAGAGACTTATTGTACTTTTACCCCACTACAATTCAGAGGTAAATAATGTACTTTTACTTTACTACATTTATGGAATACCTTTAGTTACTTTACATATCTGGATTAATGATGTTAAATATAATCAAGTCTTAAATCAGACTTTAGATGCACCTGGAGTAAATTCACAAGGTATACCCTGCAGTACACAAAGGCCCAATCCCAAACCGCCCCCTATACCCTACCCTTACCCCTCCGTTTGCGCGTTCACGCGGAGGGTCCGCCACATTGAGGGCTGTTCCAAACCAACGAGTGTGGAGCGGTGTGGAGGGGGAGTGGGCTATCAAGCCCTCAAACAGCGAGTCTGCATCGGGGCTGACTTGAGACCGGTCTCTACCTGACCAGAGTCACGCTGTGTTTGTCCCTCAGGAAACACGCTGTTTACATAGTTCCAGCAAACACTGATAAACTGCGATGTTAACAACCTCATGATAAACTCATAATGTTTTAACTTAGGATCATACGTGTTTAGTCTAGAAAAAGGTAAATGTGTGCATTTTATTATAAAGTTGTGTATATTTACAGACTGTTGCAAAAACTAAGAAGCTTATAAACATCAGGTTTAAAACTAAAAGAGCTTTGTTGCTGGGGTGGGTCGGATTGAAAGTGGACCCCTTAACTAACACTCGACTTCCCGGACCTACCTACGTTGGAACGTGAGGCGTGCCCGCTGAATTGTGCCACTGGGGCGCCCCCTGCCCGCTGTCGCCATTCTTGCGCCTCGAGGTAGATGAAGCCGGAACGGGTCCCCTTGACCTCAAAAGATAACGCCACGGGTTTGTGCCTTGTAGGAGGACCACCTGATGGTAGGAGCCAGACCTACTTGGCTAATTCAAAATTTTCCACAAAACGGGCCCTGGCGCTCGGTGGGAGCGTGGCTTCGGTCCCTTTATACCACCTCTAGGTCCCAGGTGCCGGTCACCGGAACACCCGCGGGAGAGACCTTGTGGGGTCGTCCCTAGCGTTTATTTTTTCACGGTCGCTCTTTCCAAGGTCCCAGTCACGACCTCAGTCTGTCCGGGCAAAATTAGTTGCACAGCTCCTGCCGTCCCTAGCCCAGTCACCACTACCTTGGACTTGGGCCACTCCAAGTCCGCCGTCGCAAAACCTCGACCACCTCGGGCTGCGGCCTCTAGAGTGGCCCACTCGGCACTCCGGCCCCTGTCGCCCCTATATCACTTAGTGCCTTTTGACCTGGCTTCCTCCCTGGTCTGAGACCACCCTCTAGTCGCAGTTTTCCACGTCCTGTTCTCAACTCCGCCTGTGCCGCAACACACACCACACACACACACACACCACACACACACACACACAACACACACACACACCACACACACACACACACACACACCACACACACACAACACACACTTCTTCGCTTAGGCGACACCACACGCTCTTTTTCATTCTATGGCCCAACTCGTTAACTCCGTCTTGTAATAAAATAAGTAAATAGTAACAACCCCTTAAAGGCAGTGCATATCCTGGTACATAACACACGCATTTATGCCCGGTTATATACCTTTGGCATATGAACTGGTTTCTCGGATTTTGACCCCTAAGTGTAGTCAAACTAATTATACCTATATTAATGTTTTTTACCTGAAAGGAAAGATCCCTTTGAACCGGAATGCCAAGGTTACCCGGAAACCACCAAGGGATCCTATATATAATATCCCCGACTCCAGGTTTAGTATGTACCAATTCAGTTGTCAGAATTTGAGAAAGTAGATTCACAATTTATGGAATTACCCCTGTCTATACATGTTAAACTATAATAACTAAACTATTGGTACCCTCTAAAACGATTTATTCAAAGAATTTATTTCAGAAATCTTAGTTTTGTAATGTGAACTCTAAATGTCAACTTTGAAGGTGATAATCGTAGTCCTCAACAACCTACAAATTTAAACACTTATCGGGTATAGATATAAAATACCTATTTTCATGACGTTCTACAAAATGTAATTTTATCTCGAACAATTAGTAAGATAACTATTAACCTCGAAAGTTGACCAAACGCCGACCTGCAAATACTCCAGGTGAGACGTGGGACATCACCAACCCCGGCGCTCCAGAAAATTTAACTGTCCCCTAACAAACAAGCCCAATTTTCCGCCTTTTCGTTGTTCAAAGAGCGTCAGAATATAATAAACCCCGCTAAAATATAAAGGTGTCCATACCTGGAATACCCTAAAGTGCGAAAGTGGTTAAACCTAGTAATTCTAACCAAAGGGGACTCAAATAAACATTGATTACAGAAAAAAAAAAATATTATGAATTTACCCTACTCATACAACAAAACATTTACACAACAGCTTTGGGGATGAGTGGAGTCACCGAAGACTTTTTTCATTGCCTATATACGGTGAAGGTGCCTGATGTAGATTGGGTCTTTAAGCTGGGACGAGACCATTCACGTGTCCAGGTGGGTGATGAAAGTTTATCCGACTAAATAAAAATTAATTAATACTACCACATGTTATAAGACTTTTATTGAAAGTTTACTTTAGTGGAAGTCTGGGTTGAAAAATGGTTTACAGGTCAAGTAAAAGGTGTTCCGATGGGTGTCTGTAGTCTATGTTTTATATCTTTACATTATGTCCGTTTTTCCAATTCCTCAGGGAAAGGGTGTCAAAGACCTCAAATCTATATATTACTTTTCCCTTTAAACGTAACAAGTAGTTATATCACACAACAAACCCCCAAAGGTAGCACCATACTCCTAACAAACCGACGTCAATTGGGCCGTTATCGGTGGAAAAATGACTAACCAAATCATTTTAAACTAACTCTCCTTAGTAAAGTCGGTATGTACCACAAACCCTTTATAATCATAAGACTTTTGTAAAGAATGTATCAAAGAATACAAAGAAGTCTCACCCTTTTTCATGAGTCTAGAACATGAATTCATTTTCTATCTTCATGTACTCACATACTTATGAGACAATGTTCATTTCAGACGTTGTTTACAATGAGTTCAATTTCAAGTTTTACAATACCCGTAGTTTTATATGATTTTCATGGTTTACATATTCAGAAGTACGTCGACCAACCGGGTCTTATTATACTATACAAAACTAATATTAATAACTAGTAGTTCGACCATTTCCACGTCGATCAAACTTAATAAATCCGGGTTTAGGGTTTAGTGAGTAGCCCTGGGAGGGAAGGCACTGCCTCACTTAAAGGCCAGACATCGTGTGAGCGTCGAGTTGCTCCCGAGGGAGGTCAGTCTAACTCTCATTTAATTGTCGTCATTCGAAACCGTGCCGGAGGGGAGAGATGCCGTCTTTGGTCCTTTACGGCATTGACATATATTGTTGCCAAAGTTTAGTCTGTAGAGAAGCTGTTTTTACACATTTAATTATTGAGTTTATGTTGAGGTTTGTATAAAGTAACACA